CTCATAGACCAGCCTGACCTTCCATGTAGCACTTGATGTGTGTGCCTTAAATTGGACCTTTGGGTGGGGTAAACCATATGTCCCAGTTTTCCCAGGACAGTCCTTCCTGGCTTGTGTCTGTTGTCCTGGCATAATTATTAATATACCTCTTTTCTCTCCCAGAAATGGCTTGACTTAGATGATAAATTATGTGGCCACTTGGTTGTTAAGCCTTGGTGCTTGCTCCTGTCCATCGAGACTTCTGCCTAGCTCTGCTGGTGGAGTGCCCTGTTGGCCTCCAGGTCCCTTCAGAAGGCTTTGCTCTGCTGTCAGCAACCCACTCAATTTCCTGATAAGAGAGACGACTGAGGGCTCAACATGTGAATTTCAGGAAGTGTAGATTTCAGAACTGAAAGGGACTCCTGGAGACTGGTAGTTTGACTTTTTTTTTTTTTACAAAGAAGTAAATGATTTTTAACTCATGTTGAACAAATGGTTTCCTGTGCTGTAGTGTTTGTCTTTCTTAGTAGTCTCCTTGTAGCCCCAGGCCCTGCTATCTGTGTTGGCTTGTTCTGAACAATTTAGTTTGCTTGATTACCCTTTACCCTGACAGCCTTTCATGACAGAGTTACCCAAAAGAAAGCATATGGTTCTTTCTTTAAAGTAGGGGATTCCAGTTATTTTCCAAAGAACTAGAAGTCATTCATTGTTCTTCGTTAATAGGTTTTATAGGCGCCAGGATTTTCTTGGTAAGTAACTTTTCCAGTTACTGGGATCCTTGGCTTCTCCATAATGAGCCTGCCTGTGATGGAAGATGTAAATGTTTGGGTGTTTTGACCACCTGGCTGCTTTCATTAGACACATAAATCTCAAACTTGAGGACTCCGACAAATATATATATTTATATAGGCAAAGCCTCTCCAAGGCAGACCTCTCTGTGTGAATTTCCAGTGCCTAGATCTTATAGCAGCTCTCTTTGTATGCTTGCTGATGATGCTGAAATTTTTTAAACATAAGTTTCTAAAACATTTCTTGGTGATAAATCCTGGAATTAGGATAGTTTAGACCATGTTTCAGTAATAAAGATGAAATCTGAGACTTAACGCTATAACGTTTTCTCTCATACCCACATTATGGTCTAATACAAGTTGAGCGGCTCTCTGAGGAAGCCCTTCTCCAAATCATGATGTACGAGGGCTGGCCCTGTGGCCAAGTGGTTGGGTTCGTGTGCTCTGCTTTGTTGGCCCGGGGTTTCGCTGGTTCGGATCCTGGGCGTGGACTGTTCATCAGGCCATGCTGAGGCGGTGTCCCACGTAGCACAAGCAGAGGCACTCACAACTAGAATGTACCACTATGTATTGGGGGGCTTTCGGGGGAAGAAGAAGGAAAAAAAAAAAAAAGAAGATTGGCAACAGTTGTTAGCTCAAGTGCCAATCTTTAAAAAAAAAGTACTTATGATGTAGGAACCTAGGCTGTATGTGTCTTGTAGCTATGCCATCTGGGGCATGTGGCTTCCAGGGCTGCCAGGAAGACAGAGCTTGGATCATCATGCATAGATTTTACTGGTCACACTGGAGGGGTCGACATCTTCCCCCTGTATCTCACGAACCATAATTCCGTCTTGTGGCCCCAGTCCGACTGCTGGGGAAGCTGTGAAGTGTAGTGTTGCTATGCCAGGAAGGGGAAATGAAATGGGATTTGGTGGCTACACAGCATTATTTCTGCCACAGTTCCCTTCATCGATCTGCTTCTTGGCTCATCCGCCATGTTTTAGGAGTCTTACACTTTCCTGCTCTTAGGGTTCAGCATCTTCAAGGTGCTTGCCCTTGTCCTTCCCATTTTGAGTAAAATCACATGAAGTCTGACTCTACAGGTAGGTTCTTTTCACCACCTCCACAGTGCAGCTTCACCCAGAAGGTGCAGAGTGAGTGGGTTCCAGAGAATTTCCTTGTTCCAGTTCTTCCACTCTCTTCCACCTTGTTTTGAACTTCCATCGTGTGTTTATCTCTTTGCTTCCAAAGGCCACCCCTCTTTCACCAGATAGCCTGCATGAGAAGCGCTGTAGCCGTGATGGCGTCCAGCTCTTCTGTAACTTGAATGATTGGAAAAGGATGTTTATTTCAGAACTCAGGATATTCAGAAACTTGCTTTTATCAATTCCTGCAAGTTTTTAGACAACTCAGAACCAAACTCCCAATTGGCTAATCAACAAAGTAAAATGACGATTTATGCTTGGAAGCACAATTGCTAAATGGATCCATATTAGCATGCCGGAACATTCTGTTTCCAGCAGGAAATTCTACCGAGAGCAGAGGTGGAGGAGAGGCCGCGGAGAGCATCTGCAGGCAGAGACTGTCAGATGGCTCGTCCTCAGGCACAGAGAGAGGTTGCCTGTTTCCTCTCTGCTGGGTGGACTGGGGGCCCACCCTGCACTAGTCACTATTCAGTTCCTCCTCTCCAGTGTTACTTGTCCATCACCGAAAACTCTCTCATTTCAATATTACTTCAAGACTTTTGTAATTAATTAGATTACATTTCAGTTGGTGTTAATTCACTTTCAGGGAGATTATAAATAATATTTTGGGATGAGATGATGAATCTCGCACATTCGTGCTGGTTTGCTTAGCTCCAGAGAGTTTCATTCCACAGCCTGGCTTCACAGCACGTGATGTGGGCTCGGCACACAGTAGATGGTGGTGGATGTTCGCTCCTTCAGCACATGGTGATCAAGGGTCTGCTATGCGCCGGGCATCGCCCCAGGTGCTGGGGATGCTGCGATGAGGGAAAGAAACAGTTCTACGGGAGAGATTGCTGTGGTCAGACGGGAGGAAAGGATGGAGCGAATGGCGATGTGTGCTGTTCATAGGCGGTGGGAAAGTGCAGTGGCACAAATGGTGTTATTTATGTCCATCTCTGTGTCCCGTAGCAAAGTAGCTATTTTTCTTTTTTAAGATTCTCAAGTGCAGGAGTTATTAGAAACCGGTATGTCCCTGGGGAGGGGACAAAGACCCTTGAAAAGGGAGAAATAGGATAATTAAAGTGACCTTTATCAGATTAGGCAATTAATGATTAGAATGCCATTACCTGCCCTTGTAATTACAAGCAAAAGCAGTGGTCGATGGTGACTTTGTTTTCAGCTCTTGGACATGTTCCAGGGATTGTGTGGCTGAGAACTTTGAAAATAGTGCATTACCTGTAGAGAGAGGTAATTAGAAGGCGGTTAGAGAAACCGCTCTGCCTCTCGGTGTCGAGGAAGCACCCTCGGAGAAACGGTACCCTCAGCAGGCCTGTGGATGTACGTGCACAGTGCTGGTAGCTGACTTCACCAGCTACAAAGGAAAGAAGTTTCTGCCCTTGGTTGGGTATTCCCGAGTATATAGAGTTAAGAATTGTCATTACTTTGACTATTACTTAGATTTTTAAAAGGGAGTGAGTGGATGTACCATAATTTAGTTTCAGATGTAGAAGCATCAGTAAATACACATTCAGTTAGTAATTTCAGTAGGAAAACCTGTCCAGGGTACAAGCATCTGCTTTTTTTCTGTGTTGTAAATGTCGGCCTTCAGCTCCTGCAGGAAACCGTGCACGCCCACGGGTCTCCTGCTCAGAGGACTGGCTCCGCGCCTCTTCCAGCTTTCCTCACCGGGCCACTTGAGAGCTGCGTCAGGTGCAGCTTTCAAAATGATGCAAAATCCTTGCGTCCTCCCATTCTTCTGTTAAAGAAGTAGTGTCAAGTTTTCCAAACAAGAGAACCTACTGTATATCGGCGCAGGAAGGCACCTGAGGACTCTCCTGCTCCAGCCCTCCCTTTGGCAGAAGAGGAAATGCAGCCTGGCTTTGGGCCGCACATCTGACTCGCAGCAGAAGCTCCTGTTGTCCTTCAGTCACCATTGGGATTAAGTGAGGGAACACCGTCCTGGTCCTTGGAACAGTGCCTGGGCCATGGCGAGTGCACAGTGTGAGTGTCCCTTGTTCTCACTGTCTTAGTGGCAGAGCCCAGACAGAAGCCCAGATGCCCTCACAGTCGTGCTCTTTCAGAGGCACACGCTGTGAATTCCCCACGTTGTATAGGGAGAAATGCGTCTGTAGAAGTTGAGTTGGAATCAAACAGTGGCCGCCTCAGGGCCAGTTACTGAGCAGGCCTCAGGGCTGCGTCCTGGACACTGCCCTCAGGGGCTCCTCTCAGTGTCCCGGGGGAGTCCCACTCACGTCTCCATCTGAGTCACGTGAAGTCCCAGTGGTGACTTGCCCATGGTCACACTGCCTGTAAGGGGCCAGGCTTTAAACCCTGCTCTGTCTGCTTCAAAAATCTATATGCTTAACCGTTATTTTATTCCAGGAATTGGCAGACTACGACCTGTAGACCGAATCTGGCCATCCCTGTTTTTGTATAGTCTTCAAACTAAGAATTTTTATACATTTTCAAATGGTTGGAAAAAGTTACAGAAGAGAAATATTTCGTGGCGTATTAAAATGGTGTGAAATTCAGATTTCAGTGTCCATAGGTGAAGTTTTCTTGGCGCACAGCCACGCGCGTGTTCACCTGCTGCCTGAGGCTGGTTTGGTGATACCGTGGCAGAACTGAGTAGCGGTGTCAGAGACCATGCGGCCGGAAAAGCCTAAAATATTTCCTGTCTGGCCTTTACTCTCTACTCTGCCTCAGTGATGATGTTTTGAGATTCCAATTATTTAGAGCATAATTGCGAGGTTTTTGAAGGGCCTCTCTCCTCCTGTGACCTGCCTTGGTTTGTTGCCCATTAATTAACGTATCGATCCAGTGATGGATAGTGTGTATAAAAGGAGATCGCCCTTCAATTCCCTGTGTCTTTCTTGTTTAGCAGACTGAGGAATGATCTGTTCCTGGACAACATGTGAGGCCCTGGAGGATAACATCTTCGTACTCACTGTGGCTCCCGCTGTTTGTGGCTTCCACGCCCCTCACGTCCATTTATTGAGCTGATTATTTTTAAACCTCCAAGTGTCTTAGATGCAGAAATCACTCTATTTTCTTTCGCTTGTAGCGGTCTGCTGTCTTCAGATTATGTGGAGATTCACTACGAAGATGGGAAACCACAGTTCTCTAAGGTACGGCTAATGGCGTGTGGGATCCTGGAGCGTGAGTGTGCTTCATGGTAGAGCTGTTGGGTGCACACCGCAGGGTTTTGATGTCTAGCTCAATAAGATCGTCTGTCCTCTTCTACGGGGTACTATTTTTAAATTCGAAGTAAATTTATTAAAACTTACAAATATTCGAAATAACATTAACATTAAAGAAATGTTTGTTGTTTTGGTTATGCAGATAGCAGCTTATGTAAGTGAGTGGCATAAAGAGCGATTCGGTTCCATATCAGCACCTTCGAGTAGTAGATAAGCAGACTCGTGGTCGCAGAATATGAATGATAAGACCCACGGGCTCTTAGAATGACTGTTGAGTCCAAGGGACTTTGGTGCCCGAGAAGGGCAGAGCACAGCGGGGGATGGAAGGTTTCGGGAACACGCTCCCTCTTAATCTTCACGACGGTTCTACGAGGTGGATGTTCTTGTTTCTGCTGTGTCAAGGAAGAAGCTGAGGCAGAGAAAGGGCAATTACACCTGTGCAAGGCCACCAAACACTAATACCCAGACAATCGGGTACCTGATTTCCTTCAGCTGGAGATTAGCTTTTGCTCTCTTCAAAGAGGATCAATGAGGAGCAAATGGGTTTAGACTGAAACGAGGGAGAGATTGTGTGTCAGGACACAGTGATCCCCACCGTTAGGATGGAGGTCCCTGGAGTGGCTGCATCCAGAGACTGATCTGTGGGACGTCCACAGAGCCCAGCAGGCCTGAGCAGGGTCCACAGACCCCACAGGCACGGGAGAGGAAACGGGGAAGCAGAACGAAGTGTTGAAACGTGATTGGACATAGGTTTTTCTAGGTTGCTAACGAGTGTTGGCACCAGAGTGGCCCTTTCCTGTGTGGGCTTGCTGTGTTGTACAGCAGAGGGACTGGGTTTGTAGTCTGATAGCCTCTCAACAAACATTTATAGGAGGCCTCAACTGTAAAGACCCCTGGCTAGGGGGGCATCATGGCATTTCTCAGGATTCGTAGCTGTCTGATTCTCAGTGGGCACAGTTGTAATTTGCTGTGTGTTCTGAATCTTTGAGTTTTATGCCCCAGATTAAGAACTTCCGTATTTTATTCTTGCTAGTCTGTCAGTTCTTGCCTTAGGCAGCATCTTGGGGGCGGTTGACTCTCCCTAACAGTCAATGCTGTGGAAAGTGAGCAGAAACGCTACATCAGGCTGGGCTGGTGCTTCCTGGCGTTGGAACGACCCCAGCTCCTGTCAGCTGTGCCAGTGCTGGCAGCCCTGCGGACGCTGAGTCATGAGTCCGGAGGAGAGAAGATGGCAAAGGAACTTCACGGACTCAGCAGACGAGCCGCCTTTTCAGGCCGCAGTAACCTGACCCAAACTTCGCACTAAGATCTTCAGTTTTATTTTTTTTTAGAAGCAGAATAACTAATTGGCCTCCAGGGGTCATTTGAGGTCCCAAAAGGAGGCCTTACCATTAATAAGACAGCCAAATCTCATATCAGGGTTCCTCAGCTCTGTGCTGTTTCCACAGGCGTTGCTTTTCTCTTCCTTATGACCCGTTTCTCCAAACAGCTCATAGCCCCAAACTTCCTTACTTCCTGTATAATGGATTAATGATAACAGTCTGTTTTTATATTTCTGTGTTTATATATGCACCCCCAAAAAGCCGAGATAATACAGTACACACTATCTTGTAGCAGGATTTTTTTAACCTAACAATATCATAAACATTTTAGCATGCATTAAATAATTTTCTAAACTTTTACTTAAAAAAATGCATACTGTTCTTTCCAGTTCATTTGCTATCATTTGTTTAAAAATCCCATGGTCATAGACATTTAGATTGTTTCTAGTCTTTCGCTAAATGAATACCTCTAAGGAAAGTTCTTGCAGGTGTGTTTTGAACATACCTTTAATAATTGCTTAAGGATTCATTCTGAGAATGGGATTTTCTGGGTCAAAGAATTGGTACTGTTTTTTTAAAGGCTTTTGGTACCTATTGACAACTTTTCTTTCTGAAAGTTTGTATAAATTCACTCTCCTGATACCATTCCATACACATTTTTAAAAGCTTTTTTTTAAAACTTCACAATGCCTTCTGTGTTGTTTAAGCAAATCTTTGTACAGAGTGAAAGAGAAGGAAGTTAACCTGTAAGAATGACTGGACTAGAGAAACCTGCTTTGTGCAAACTTTCTTCCAAAGGTCTCAAACCGTTTAGACAAAAGTACCCCCCCCCCACACACACACACTATTATTCACATTGCTAGAGAGGAACAGGGTCACAAATAGCCTATTTGGCTTTGTGGTTAAATATAAATGTGGATATTTAAACTATTCTGGGGGGACCTCCCGGTGGCGCAGTGGTTAAGTGCGCACACTCCACTTCTGCAGCCCAGGGTTCGCTGGTTTGGATCCCGGGTGCAGACTTATGCACTGCTCATCAAGCCGTGCTGTGGCAGGCATCCCACATATAAAATAGAGGAAGGTGGGCATGGATGTTAGCTCAGGGACAATCTTCCTCAGCAAAAAGAGGAAGATTGGCAGTAGATGTTAGCTCAGGGCTAATTTTCCTAAAAAAAAAAAAAATTCTGGGAATTCATTTCAAACAAAATGATGGACCCACACTCGAAGCAGCTCACCTAGGTTTTCCCTCCTCACCCCACTAAGCCCCCACCTGGTTCCCACTTCCAGCTAAGAAGAGGCTCTTGTCTTAGGCTTTTACTTCTATTGGACAAAGTGGGTTAAAAGAGCTTCTTTCTTGGAGGAGTGTATATAGGAACTGGAGAGGTCAACCAGCTAAGTAGATGAGATGGAACAGGTGCCAGGCGTCAGTAGGCATGTATGGCCAAACTTTCGTTCCACACCTGACAGAGCAGTAGCTTCGTTAGAGTTCCCAGCATAGTGCTTTGTACACGATATACAGTAAAACAACGTTGTCAATTTGCTGATCAACTTTGTTGATGAACCAATTAAAAATAGGTTAATTTTTAGTATTTCAGTTCTTATAGAAAAATTAGGCATTAATATGACAGTATAAAAGTACTTTTCAAATTTAACATATTTTTATTAGATCTCTTTTAGGTGACCCATTAATTAAGTGCTCGCTAAGACTTTGGTTTCTCTTCTCCTGATAAACAGAGCTGCTCCCTGGCCAGCAGTGGGAGCCTGAATAGATGGATGCGTCTACATCCCTCTGCCTTATTCCTCTTCATCACGGTTGAGTGGGGGGAAATGTCCTTTCCTCACTCCGTTTTCTCACTTTGGCTTCTTCTGTCCCTGTGCTCAGTCCTGCCCAGGGAAGGAAGAGTGACTTAACTGGTGGGTAGGAGCTGGGCTGGTCTGCGAAGGCTTCCTCCCCTTTTTTGGTGATATCCACCTCCCTACGGGAAGGGCCCGTTGTCTCTCCTGTTTAAGCTCTAAGTTGTACAGTGGGAGCCCCTGTGTGTGTGTGTGTGTGCACGCGCGTGGCCCGGGGTGTTGGTTGTCCCGTGTTGCCTGTGCCTTGGTGGGTACGTCTGGCTGACTCAGGAGCAGCATTAGCAGGCCCATGGGATTCTCCGCTGACCCTGTCCTCTAGTCTAGCACCATCAAACATGAAGGTGAGATTTTGATTTCTGTTCAGTCCTGTGTCACTGTCTCATTTGGTTTTAAACTTGTGTGAGTAACACGTCATACCCTGTAGGATGGCTATAATAAAAAAGACGGACAATAGCAAGTGCTGGTGAGAATGTGGACACCTGGAACCCTCGCACACTGCTGGTGGGAAGGTAAAATGGTGGAGCTGCTTTGGAAAACAGTTTGGCAGTTCCTCAAAAAAAGTTCAGCACAGAGCTACCTCGTGAGTCAGCGGTTCTACACGTCGGTATATACCCAAGTGAACTGAAAACACGTATCCAAGCAGAGCCTTGTGCATGGACGTTCATAGCAGTGTTATTCTTAAGAGCAAAAAGAGTGGAAACAACCCACAAGCCCACATGTCCATCATTTGATGAATAAATAAGCAAAATGTGGTCTACCCACACAAGGAAATGTTGTTCAGCCATAAACATGAGTGAAGTACTGATACATTTACAACATGCATGAGTCTTGTAAACATTACACTAAGTGAAAGAAGCCAGTCACAAAGGACCACGAATTGTATTATTCCATTTATTTGAAATGCCAGGAATAGGCAAATCTATACAGGCCAAAAGTAGATGAGTGCCAGGTTGCCAGTGGCTAGCGGGTAAGCAGGAATGGGAATGACTGCCCATGGGGACAGGATTTCCTTTTGAGGTGATGAAAATGTTCTGGAGGTAGATGGTGGTGATGATTGCCAACTCTGTAATACACTAAAAGTCACTGAATTGTGCTCTTTAAAAGGGTGAATTTTATGGTTTGTCAATTATATCTCAAAGGAGAAAACCCCCTCAGATTGGGGGTGGGGTTTATTTACCCCCCACCTCAACAGACATGAATCCTCTGCTGTTTGAGATTGGTCTTGTCACTTAGGCTCATGAATAAGCCATCTTATTTGTTAGTTAAACGGATATCCATTTAGCTCACTGTGATCTAGTCACGGTCCTCAGTGATGCACGTTGGTGAATCAAGTGGATACACACACTGCCTGTGTTCTTCCCTTTATCGGTAAATCACCTTGCCCTCCTGCAGCGTTTCTGAGCTGCCCTTACCACATCATCACTGTGGCTCTGCTCACGTCCGCTCCTTCCATGAAGGCTTCGGAGGGGAGGGCCTCTGTGGCACGGCTCCTGGCTGGGAGGTTAAAAAAGTTCTCCATGAAATCAAGAGAGCAGACAGCACTGGCTTCTCACAGAGCTATTTTGAGTTCGAATAATATAATTTGTATGAACTATTAAAAATTTATATAGCACTGGTACGGCCAAACTGCTCTAATACTTTATTAAATGACTTCTAGGACATTCTTCCCCTTTGAGTTTAAGGAAGGTAAATAATTCAGCTGATGTTGGGGTCTCGAGTTCTCTGGTTCTCTGAAAGATTTTTTTCATTTCCTTATTCTCCAGTGTTCAAATTCAGGTCTATGTATCCAAATATGGGTATCTTTTTCTATTTCTCCTTTGCTACCAGACCACTGACTTATTAAATACATTGATACATTCTGCTGGTTGATAAGTTTGAAGTATTTCAAGATAGTCATGCAGAATAATCATTTGAACATAGAGTCATATTTTATTATTATATTCAGAACCTGGAGTATCATAATATACATATTTGTGAGCTAAGGCCTGTGTGGTTTCTTTTCAAGTGTTTTTCCATACGTTCTAGATTGAAAACATCAGTGCTGGGTCACCATGAAAGCCCAGGTTTATGAGAGTTTCTTAAGCCATGAAGATAATAAGAGTGACAGATTGAACTTTACCGAAGCGGATGAGACAATTAAACAAACACAAAGGAGGGGCAATTTTAAAATAAATTAAATTGAAACAATAGGTTCTGTTTTCCAATAGGTTGTATTTAAAGTGGGTAAAATCAAACTATTCCCATCATTCGATCAATGGTACCAGGGAACCAGATCTTTTTTTCTCTCCAAGTTCTTCTTGCTAGACTCACAGAGTGGTCATCCTTGGCCCCTTCTGATTAGGAAGTATTTTGAAGGATGCACATGGCCGGCTGCAGTGTCTCATTATTTACAGGAGTGGCCTGGTGGTCTCCAATGGGTTTCTTAGCTTGACAACCTTGTGGAGCAAAGTTGTCATTATTTGAGCTTATCTGGCTTGTGGAGTGTTCAGCTGTGTGGAAGGGGTGGGCTGAGAAAGTTGAGGAGCATCCTTAGTAGGATTTTTAGGGTTTTCTTACTAGCCAATGACTTCCACTTATCAGATGCTCCATTTTCTTGAATTTAATTAACTGACAGTTTTGAATCTGAAAATGCCCATGGGGACACACACAGACTTGTCTCATGCGCTGAATGAGCCCTTTCTGATTCTCCTGGCTGCTGTTTGCCTCGTCCCAGATCTGGGACCCACTCAGAGTCAGTGACCTCGAGTCGCTGGCCGGCGCTCCTGAACAGTCTGAGGCCTTTCTGACAGGAGACCGAAGCTTGAGTTTGAGAGCCTGAAGGTGTGGGGTTTAGTGTGGCTCGTGCTGTCTTTGGCGGAGCCTCTTAGCACCTTGTGACTGTCTCCCTGTCGGTGAGTGGAGATAGTAGTTACTGTGAGGTAGGCTGTTCAGGATGGCTAGATCCTTGTGTGGAAGGCACCCCTGGAGCTGACACTCCAACGTCCCCACAGTGAAGCCATGTGGAGTGGCCTCTCTGCGCTGGCCCGCTGCTGTTACCCCTGTCACCTCTTCTCAACCGGGTTTATTTAATACAAAATGCCTCACGATGTGACTTGGCAGTGGTGTTTACAAAATGCCACAGAGATCTGGAGAGTTGCCAAATAGTATATTTCTGGTGATGTTTTTTTAAAAACTTGGTATAAATTTAGTAATAAGAAACTCAGAAAATCCGTGGACTACTAATACTAATTCTAACGTAGAACCTACCAAATTGCTCATAGCGCTTAATAGAACTGCACGATTTAGATGTGGGAGCTTTCTTATGGTGCTAAACATCAGGGATCGGATGTTACCTCAGGTCCCACTTAAGAGCCCGAAAATACGGTACTCGCCATTCAGAGAGACAGAGAATGTACAGTTCCCTTCAGACAATACTCTGCCTTAATTAAAACAAGGAACACTGACCTTTATGCTGAGAGAGCATCAACCTTCAGTTTCCAGTGCAAGTGAATGAAACTAAAAACTAAGAAAGGACTTGGAAATATTTTCTGGGGGGGAAAACGAATATTTTTAGGAAAATCTGAAAAAATAGAGCTTTTCTTAGAAAGGTCAAGTAAATATGACAGTGTTTGCTAGGCACTTCTAATAATCGCCTGAGTTAAGACAGCCTTTAGGTGTGATGGCAAGTGCTAAACAACCAGTTTGATGAAATTTACAGTTACCTATGGTTTTTAGAATCATGTGAAGAGTCTGAAATTTCATTGCAGAATATTGACCTGGATTCTTACATTGCTGAAATGTGTGATACCATTTGTCCTTAGAAGTTCCAGAGTTGAATATGCAAATAGAACTTGACATATTATATACAAGTCAATCTTTATATACAAGGTTGCTTTTTGAAAACTGAAAAGCAACCCTTTAGAAAATATTAACAAGGTTATAATAGCAAATTCAAACAACCGACATTGAAAGTTTGTGTTATAGTTACTGAAAGGAAACAAATTGAGTTGGCTGGGGAGTGGTCGTCTGGTGTGTGGGTGAGTACCTTTAGGCACTTTAAGTAGCTTCTGAAGCTATTGTAATGCAGTATAATAAGCAGTGATCAAAATGACTGTAAATCATCAATAAAAAGTCAGAATATGCTTAGTGTATTTTATTTAAGAAAATAAATAGAAAGCTTCTGGTTAAACAATGTGGATTCAGTGCTTATATTTATCTCTGTTCCTTCCCAATAACCCACTCAAGTAACAGTTAAGGAATAAAAAAGGATATAAACCCACACAGACAAAGACAAGAGAAGAACAGACAGCAGATGAGAGGTGTCCATAAAACTGTGGGAGAGGAAAAGCAGATGAAGGAGGGGTAACTGGCCCAGGTTTGAGCTTTTCCTGCTCTGCTGAGTTCCGCTGGGGGGAACCCAGAAGAAGCAAGCTGACTCATGTCGCTTCACCCACAAGGGCCAGGAATTGGAGACATGGAAACAGAAAGGTTGGTTGGGAGTCTAGATGGAGGTGATTTAAGTTCCTGATCTACTCGTTACCCCCTGATAGCCGTGCGGCCATCCCTTCTTTACTCTGGCAGAAGAGCTCGTTTATGGAGAAAGATGGAAGGGAATTCTCAGAGAAATTGTAAAAGTTTCCCAGAACTGAAGAGCATGCGTTTTCTTGATTAGAAGTTGTGACAGAGTGCCCAGCACAACGAATAAGCGGGGACCCCACAAGGCACGTCAGAGATTTCATGAAAATGCAGGTGGATAGGATTTCCTAAGTTCCTCTTGAAAGGCGAAAAATAGATTTTATAAAAAATATCTAACGTTAGAATAACAGCCAATTCTCAACAGCAACATTAGAAGCTATAAGACTTTGCACAGTGCCATTGAAATGCTGAGAGAATGTAATTTCCGATCTAGAATTCTTTACCCATGTGGATGATCGATCTTGTGTGAAGAAGAAAAAGAAATTTTAATACATGCAAATTCTCACCATATTTATCTTCCATGAACACATTTCCAAGAAAGTATCAGAGGATGTGTGCCTTCAAAAGAAGGAGGGTGGGACTATGAATGGAGAAGACATGGGGTCTAGGATTCAGTCTGGAACAGAAGCCAAGCAGGTTGGCAGGATGATGCTCAAGAGAAGTCCTGGGTGGCAGCTCCAATCAGGCCAGCAGGAAGTTGGAGGGAAACATGGGGAGTATCTCCAGGAACAAGATGAGTATGATAAATTACCTGATTATGTTTGACCCCAGGAGAGGACTTGTAGATAATATTGTATATAATGGGGAAAGTATAAGTGCTAATATATGGAAAAATTAGCAAGCAGGAAAGTGAGGCAAAAATTCTTGAAAAAATTAAGAATGGAGCAAGAAAGAAAATGTAATCATAGTGGCACAGCTATGAACAGTATTTGCATAGTCATAATACAAACACTACATATCAGTTTAACCAAAAACTAGTGATGTGTGTTGGAATGTATTGGGGGTGAGAGGGGTTTTCATGATTCTATATTAGGAAGATAATTTCTAAAATGAAATAAATCAGGACATGGCAGTAGAAATATTCCATTCAGAAATACATAGATGATAAACAGAAGAAACAGCTAAAAGAGTTTAAAATGGTTGCCATGGAGATGAGGAGAGAGGGAGAAAGGAAACTGCTGTAATTTTAAAAATAGGCCTTGTAGTTACTATTTGACTTTGAAAACTAAGTTTATTGACTGTCTCTAAAATTTTTTTAAAAACAAATTTTAAAAGGTAGGTAAGCAAATAATAAGATTTTATGTAGTTTTCCATCAAAAATGATTGATAACAACACTTTGAGGGCTCTCCTCGGCTGGGGGAAGACGTTACTCCGTAACTATCTGGTAAGTGTCTACTCCCTCAGCTGCTTTAAGTTGAACCAGTTGCTTTCGTGTCTTATTTCTTTAAGCCTTTTCTCCTTCATTAAATTTAATATACATGTACTCTTTATAGGAAAATCGAAAAATTGCTTAGTGCTCTTTGAGATTTCCTATCAACCAGGAGGAGTTTCTTGGACCATCTTGCGTTTCTTTTTGTTTTATAGAAGCATCTCGAAGAGTGCACCATGATGCAGAAAGCCTAATTTCTCAGTTGGATCTTCTTCTGCATTGTAGGGTGGAGAACACTGTTACTACCACGGGAGCATCAGAGGCGTCAAGGACTCCAGGGTGGCTCTGTCGACCTGCAACGGACTTCAGTACGTGGGGTTCTCGTTGGGAGGACGAACTTGCTTTCATGCCTGCACCCTTCCCATCTCTTCTTTCACAGATGTTTATTTTAGTGACTCTTCTGTGCCCATCCTGTGTTAGGGACTGGACATGGAGTGACAAACAAGGAGGGCGTGGCCCCTGTTCTCTTAAAACTTAGAGTTTGCAGGAGATTCAGACATTAAACAAATAATGACGCAGATTAATATTTAATTGCCATTTTGGTAGTTAACGGGGAGGGGGAGGACAGGGACTTATGGGGTGGCTGAACTCAGTCTGGGAAGGGTGCCTAGGGCTGTATCCCAGAGGGCGTATCCGTCAGATTAGACGTGAGATGAGCAGGAGTTAGCTGGGCAAGGTGGGTGTGAGGGGAGGAGCTCACACTTCGCCTCCCAGGCAGGCTCTAAAAACACCTGTAGGCGCCTCCTGGACCCAAACCCAGGACACTTCACCTAAAGATCTGGTTGTGGCCATGTGGTGAGAAAGGATATGGAAAATCTTATCTTCCCACTTTATAAAAAAACCTTGTGTCTCCCAAAATTAAATGTGATTTGCAATCCAGAGTCGTGCTGCTTGATGGGAATTCACAATTTGCAAGCGTGAAGGTACTTCTATTTGCCTCTTCAGAGTCTGATGGTTTTAGATGATTCTTATGCAGGAAGAACCTGCCTGTTTTCTTATAGATCATGTTGAGTTTGCTTAATAGGAAATTTGACTAGTTGTACACTGTTCTGGAATAATAACTCAGGATATTGGAACTGCATGAATAGTCCCGTCCCAGATTAGTCCTCTAATCTGTCCATTTAGTTTCCAACATTAGTGCTGTCAGATAGGCTCTCGGTGGACACTTTGCCCCTTTGGTCGCCTGTATGCCGTCCAGCACAGGGCTGGGGCCACACAGATTGGTGCTTTAGATTTGGAGCAGCACAAAGGCATTCACTCAGATACACTCTTTATTTTTAAAGACACAGTCTGAAGCTCACTTGCTGTTTCTTGCTGTTTGCCGTCTTTGCTAATTCTCTCCTTGTGTGTTCTCTCACACTGTAGTGGCATGTTTGAAGATAACGCCTTTGTGTATATGATAGAACCGCTGGAGCTGATCCATGATGAGGTGAGTCTGACTGTGACATCATTCTCCCTGTGGCGTTTTATTCTTCCAGCATCTGTGCCTTTGAGCAATAGAGAACCTAAGGTAGATTTCAATGCGCATTTTACCTAGTGCCTTATTTCAAACTTGGAACGATACCATGAATTTTGAAGCTTAAGTTGCACATCTCAGGCCACACACAAGTGAGGAAGGATGAGAGACGGCCTGCCCAGGCTTCTGGAGCGAAGTCCACTTCTTTCCGGGCTGAGAAAGCAGAGAGGACACTGGTTTCTACTGACCGACGTCTTTTCCTTTAAACTAGCTTTTATTCTCCCTTCTTGAGGTAATTTTACTACTATAAGCATGTACTTAACTTTTGTGAGTCTAAGAATCTTCAGTGGAGAAATCTGTGGATTGAACTATGATTACATTATATAATACTGACTTTTCTTTAGAGATAGGAAAGAAAATAATGTTTAGAGTCATACACTGGCCAGCAACCTAGACAAGACGCCTTTCTTGTATTATGAGCATTATGCTGAGTGAAATAAGTCAGACGAGAAAGACAAATACCATATGATCTCACTTCTATGTGAAATCCAAAAATGCCGAACTCTTGGAAACAAAGAACAGGTTAGTGGTTACCGGAGGCTGGCGGGGGACACGGGTGAACCTGGTCACAAGGTGCGAACTTCCAGTTGTAAGACAAATAAGTCCTGGGATGTGATGTACGGCATGGTGACCGAAGATAACACACTGTATTGTCTGTACGAAAGTTCCTTAGAGAGTAGACCCTAAAAGTTCTTGTCACAGGGAAAAAAAATGTAGTTGTGTGAGGTGATGGATGTTAACTAAACTTGTTGTGGAGATCATTTTGCAATATATACTTTTAGCAAATCATTGTGTTGTACACCTTAAACTTACACAATGTTATATGTCAGTTATATCACAATAAAACTGGAAAAAGATCACTTACTCTAATAGTGTTGCTCACTATTAGAATGCAACCAAATTTAAAATCTGGTATATATTCATCAAACATTGTAGTGAGGGCTTTCTACATGCTAGGTACTATTTTAGGTCCTGGGGATAAAGTGATGAGCAAAACAGACATGGAGCCTGAGCCTGACGGAGCCTATAGTCTAGAGGGGCAGCCAGGAGTCAGCAGGATGAGTACGTGATTGCATACGGTACTCTGGACAGTGCAACCCGCTAAAGAGAAGCAATGAAGCTGGGAAGGTGGAGTTTCCCCTTCACACTATCTAGGGAAGAGCACAAGGGATGGGAGTTTTGAACAAAGACACTCAGGAAATTAGGGAACTGGAAGAACATTCCAGGAGAGGAGCAGATGTGGAGGTAAGAGTGTCCCTGGTGCTGTGGGGACCCCGAGGAGCCCGGCTCGCCTGGAGAGGAGTGGACAGGGAGGCTGATGGGCACTGAGGTGCTCGTCCCATCAGTGAGAGAAGTGCTCATGGAAACTACGCTTCTGAGAGTGAGCAGGTCAGGATATTGTATCATTTGATGAGGAGCAGAAAACACCTTTTATCTCTAGAGATTTCAAATGTAGATAAAATAGATTTTGAAACAGGTAATAGTCATTTAGGCTATTGATAACAGCAGTTGAACAGATGAGCATTTTTATTCTTTGTTGTGGCAGCGTATCATGAATATGGGGTAATTTCAAGTTTGAGGCAGAAAAGTCATTATATTTTAAATAGTTAATGTTTGAATAAACCTGTGTCATTTTTCAACTAGTAACTATAAAAATTACCAGATAACAAAGACACACCACCTAGATTAAGACATGTTGATTAAGTGAAACGGTTTTCCCTACTCCAGTGGTAAGTAAATAGCCTGTACACAGCAAAATTATTTTGACTCATTCAGCAAAAAATTGACTTTGATTTCTGGCAGTGGTTAATGGCCCTGTCACCCTAAAAAAACAAAACAAAACAAAACCCAAACATGAAAACAAAAAGACCAAAATAACAATTCCCTAAGCCTTACAATTTTTAGGTATGTAAAATGAGACCATTTTCAATGCATCCCTAATAGGACAATTTTGCAGATTTGATGAGTTAATAAATGTATGTGACTATGTCTAATAAACTGTTGAAGGGATTTACAAATAGAAACTGTTATTATGATAACGTTTAAGGCATTGGTTTTGCATTGTTACACCCACAACCGCATTCTCCAGGGGTTGATGGTTACGTGCTAATGCCTCTTCTTTTCCCTTCATTCTTCCTGCTTCCTTTGTTCCATGTGACCATTGGTCCTCCTCCCTCTGGGTAGAGGGGAAGGAACAGCGCTCAAAACTTTAGTCAGTTTTTAAAATTGTGTTGCTAATCCACCCGTGAATTTCATTACTGTAGAGCTCTTTTCACCTGTTACCAGAATCAAGCGTTTGCTTTCGTGGATTTAGATTTTTTGATTTTAGTTCATTATTGTTATTATTAAATTCAGCATGCTTTACAGTAAGTCCAGGAACATGGATGGGATATTTCTAGTGCGAATTCATGTTCTCTCTCAAGCAGCAAATGTATAGCACAACTCTTAATTATTGTAAGTCTTTTATATAGTCTATTAAGAACACTCTTTTTTATAACATTCTAATTATGAAGCTAATACACTGTAGGAAATTTGGAAAAGCAAAGTAAACAAAAACTTAACTAAATAGTAATTATTCATCATTCTATCCCCTAGAGAAAACTTCTCTCCTTTCCCCTAGAGAAAAATTCTTCCAGTTTTCCAATGATATGTTCCCATATTTTAAAAACTAAATTGGATCATTATTTTGTGATATAATTTTAACTCAATCATGTATCTCTCTGGGCCTCAATATTTTTATTTGTAAAATGGGAATAAAATACACACTGTATGGAGCTCTTGTGAGGATTAAATTAGGTAATGTGTACATTAACAGCCCTGGCGCATACTGTGCACCCAGTGATGGAAGCTAATAGGAATCATAGTAGTGGAAATAAGACATTTCTAAAAGTGTAATTTCTAGAGCGAAGGATATGAATACTTTCAAGGTTGTTGACGGAGTTGCTAAATCTCTCCCTGCACTATGCTACCAACTTACTCCTACCAGCGGTGTATGAGAGGGCTTTTTGCCCTACAACCATCATTAATTATGGTTGTCATGATTCTTAAGCCTTTGCCAACTTGATGGCAAAAAATGGTATATCTTTCTTTTAATTTACTTTTTGAAGGAGTATTGAAGTATTTACCATTTTTTCTTATACTCCTTGACCATTTGGTTTCTTTCTTGTGAATTTCCTATTCATGGCTTTGAAGAAAGCTAAGGTTGAAGAGTAGCTAATAAAACTATGCTTTTCCCTAAACTGAAGCAATTGGATAATCCTCTATTATATTTAAAACTAATGTTTCAACAAGATGTATACTTTCCATGTTTGATAGATAAACACAAACATGTAACTGTTTCCATTTTAGGAAGGATGTTAGAGAAAGTTCTAACACTGTTCCATAGACATTTGATGACATCTTGCTTCTTAATTGTCTATAATTGTTTTTGTTTCAGAAAAGCACAGGTCGACCACATATAATCCAGAAAACCCTGGCGGGACAATATTCTAAGCAAATGAAGAATCTCAGTAAGTTTCAGTTGAAGTAGCCATTCTGTTTCCTGTGATAGGAGCCGTGACTGGGGGACTCGGGGGGCGTGCAGCTTGTTGGGAAGTGGAACTGGTCTGAGATCTGGCGTGAGCAGCGTGGGAAGGCAGTGGAGTGAACTGTGGTTTTCAAGTATTGAGGCACAGAGAGGTGATTCCAACAGAAAGAGCGAAATACGGAGCCTAGGAATAAAGCCAGGTTAGAAACCAGAGAGTGTGGCCAGATTTAACAGAGTAATTTACAGTGAGCTTCATCCTTAAATTTCCCTGGCGGGCTATGCTCTTTAGCAAACTTGTATTGTCTCTCATGCTCTCGTCCTGAGACATCTTAAGCACACTGATGTTGGCAAAAGCTTCTTTTGGGTTAGTAGGGCCTGGGTATTTTAATGCCAAAAGTCTTTTATTTATGCAGAAGCTTATGCTGTACATTATTTTTAATTCTAAAATGAAGTAAGCATAGTAGAATTCTAAATTTTCAGACATTGAGGGTCAGGTGGTTGTAGGTCAAATATACACATTCTAATGAGTCTTGAACAGCTCATCCTGTTTTTGAGGATGTTTGGAAGAAAGTTACACCTGTGCATTATATTTGTGACCGTGAGAATGTGAAAGTTGAATGATCATATACTTTTTTCATCTTAGTTTGTTGACTTTGAGTTGACATATGTGATCAATGCCGCTATTCCCTCGCATAATATTTTAAAAACGCGCTCCCATTGAAATTCAGCCAAGTGTAAATTTGGTCCTCTGTGCTTACACAGGCCTGGGAGGCAGCGAGCAGTGGCCCCTTCTGTCTGAATTACGCTGGTTGAAGAGGAGGAGGAGGAGAGCCGTGAATGTAAGCGTGGCACTGAGCCCCGGGGCGCTGTTTCCCTCAGTGCATGGGGGCCTGCCCTTACAGTATCAAAGTGTACCTAAAACAGCTGGGATTTGGGGACTCCTCTTACAAACAAAAACAGCAAACCCAAACACCCTGTGATCTGAGTCTTGTAGGCATGTTGCTTGTTATTCGGGTTTCCCTGTGGCGGTGGAAACTGAGGACAGTGTTCCGTGAACCCTGTTGTCATGTAAGGAATGTATTGTTTTCGCTCTATTTTCAAAGTGTTTTCTTGTGAAAATTGCAGTGTATCTTTTTCTATTGAAAGTACAGGCATTTTTTCCCCAATATGTTTTATAGAACATTATATAAAACATGTCTGCTAACAAAAAATGTAGGAGGAAGAGTTAGGTTTTGAAATGTTGACTGTCACACTTATTTCAATTTCTTTCCAATTAAAAATTCTGCTATACCAAACTTTGAAGCTGGATATGTTTTTCTGAACGGAATGAATCCATTTGACCATTAGTATCATGGCAGTTACTAAGTAAGAATCATGTCATTATATAATCAGCGACTGTCGTATGGCTCCCATGTATTGATAAATGTATAGGGTCTTTGTAAGTGAAATTATGTTCCTAGGCTTTTTCATAATAGATTAGAAAGCTGTAATGATGGGGACTGTTTGGTAATTACATGGTGAATGCTATGTAACTGAAAATTAATTCCACAGCATATAGATTACATGGTAATTTACTAGATAACTTAATGAGTAATTATACTGGAAATTGCACATTTTAGATAATGTTTTGCTGGATGTATTTTTTGTGAAAAAAAGTAGACCACCAGCCATCAAAAACTTAGTTAGTGATTAAATCATCCTCTTTTTTATGAGCCTGCCTTTGTATTACGGTGATCGTGGATATGTATATGTATGTATATATATATATATATATATATATATTTTTTTTTTTTTTTTTTAGAGATCTCTTCTTACTTGCTCTTGAAGATGTGGCTGGTAATAATAAATTTTATCTAGGATACTGACATTTTACTATAATCTACTGCCATCAAATATAAACTGATCAATGACCATGTGCTATTCTGATTAAATGAGTTTTAAGTAGATTTTCTTTGAAGTTTTAAGTAGATATGAATATTTTTATCAGATCCTATTGCCAAAGAAATTGACATTTATTTATTTTTTACAGAATTATACTGTACATTTTTCTCTAGAATATTTTTACATGAAAATTCATATAAAACAACACGGCTGTTCTCTATCTTGATGAGAACTTTAATGATAGTTAAATATGACTCTTTTCTGAATACTTGAATGCTTACCCACACTTTATAGCCACTTTTTTAGATTTCCCTGACCAGGTTTCTTCCAGGGTGTTTATGAAGTAGGCAGCAAAGAGTTCTTCTGAAATTCGGAGTCAAGCTACAACTTAGCAGTCAGCATCAGAGATATGTTATATCAATCACCCTTATGACCGTATATTTTTATATTTTTATTTTCCACAGCCATCTCGTGGTGTGTTTGAAGAAATGAAATATTTGGAACTCATGATTGTTAATGATCATAAAACGGTAAGAATACAGAATCAGTAGGTTTTAGACCCAGTAGCTTACTTCAGAAAGAATGCATTTCACTTTATGTATCATCATTATTTATTACTTATTAGGGCCAAGATGTTTAGATGCTTGATTTGTTTTGGAAATATTAAATGACTTGATTTATCTCATAGTGTTTGGAAACACCAGGTTTTATAGAATTTTCACAACTGTAAACTTTCCCTTTGTTTAATAATGATTGTAATTAATGAATTTAATTATCTATTTGGCATCTTTCACTTGTCTTCATTTAAAATTCTGATTCTCTACTTTTCTTCATCTATGTATTTGGTTACTGCTTTCTAATTTTCCTCCTTGACTTTGCTCTGCTGACATTTTATTTTTTCCATACTAATTATTATCATTTGTGGCAGATAAGTATATATAATAAAGCCTTGATCTTTAACTGATGATTTTTCTTCTTTACATATGGGAAAGATGAATAGCGTTATGTTACTTTTGTCAAAGTAAAATGTGATTCAATGTGTCGTTTCAGTAACTCTTAAAAGACATGAAAAATAGTTATTGCCCTCCATTGACCCCTCATGGAGATAAAGTAGAAACTTTCTTTACCGTACTCTATTTGACCATTTCCCTTATGAAATATCTTGGCTGGAGCCTGGAGCGTTCTGTAGCATCTTGGTCAGTAGGCTGGTTGTTGGTGTACCCTGTCCTTGCGGGGTGCCGACCAGTGTTTACACCCGGCTCTCTGAAGAAAAAGCCTTGATTTGAAATGTTTGCTGATATCCAAGCTGTAAACGCTCCCACTATGGCTGATGTCGAGCTACCGAAGTGAGGTCGCTAGATGAGGAGCTCGGAACAGACACGTCCGGTGGCTCTTGTGACCTGGGCTCCAACACCCCAGTGCCACACTCCCCAAACTGTCCAGGCCAGTTGTAATATTTGTTGTAATTACGTAACTTAACATTAAAAATTGCATGCACCAAGACAAAGAGTAGTTGTTTTTATGAAAACTAAGTTACATTTCTGGAAAGATGAGAATCTTTTAAGGAATACTTAAAATCCAGGTATGGGTGAAAAACTCGTAAAAGATTGCAATGCAAATTCAGAGTGCTTTGCAAATATCTTTAAGTCCTTGTTTCACGTTGAGGAAGTCAAAATTAGAGTAGTAGACTTATAGGATGAGGTTGTGTTTTGTACAAAAATGACAGCATGAAATTCTCATCTACAGACCCTGCTTAGAAAGGGCCTTGAAACCAAATATTTTTTGAAATAAGGTGACAATTTATAGTTAAACTTTTGAGTCTCTACTCTAACAGTTGTTTTCTATTAATTACCAAGTACTAATTCAAATATGCTGAATATTATTCAATAGAATACCTCTTAATTTTATATGCAGGTTTATTTTATTTACCAGCAGCTTTTAAATATATTGCTTGACTCCAGCAGCCCAGGGTTTCAACGGTTTGGATCCTGGGTGCAGACATGGCACCACTCATCAGGCCAAGTTGAGGCAGCATCCCACATGCCACAACTAGAAGGACCCACAACTAAAAATATACAACTATGTGCTGGGGGGGATTTGGGGAGAAAAAAAGCAGAAAAAAAAGGAAGATTGGCAACAGTTATTAGCTCAGGTGCCAATCTTTAAAAAAAAAAATTAAAGAGATACATTTAAAAAAATAAAAAATAAATATATTGCTTGATATATGTTAGAAGAAGCAGAATTTTTCAGAATTACATATAATTTAGGAGAGGTCTTCCCTGGTAGAAAGGAAAACTAAATGTCTAGGGAGCCATTTTAGATAATGAAGGCTAAAATATGAGTGTCTGAGTGATTGCTTGAAACCCCAAGATAGTTTTTTCATCTGAATTATTTTTGTTGATTGAGACATTGAGATTTTTTCCGGCTACTTCTCAATCCTTAGCATTGTGCCACGTTGTGAAATTATGGCTTTCGAAACCTAAGCTTTTTCCAACATCAATTATACAAATACTTTTAAAGTAGGGGTAGGGGAAATATCAATGAAGATATATATGATGCCTTTAAATTCACAAAGTGCATTCACACGTAGCTGGTAGTTGATGGATGACTGGTCGTTCCACGTCTCTTGTTCCACCATGCTCTGTTAGGGAGGTACGTGAAGCTATCGACCAGAGAGCAGATCTCAGTAAGTGTGCAAATAGGAAACTTGAGAAGTTTATATAAATAAAATTATATATTTTAAATTTATTTTTTAGGGGCTGGCCCGGTGGCACAGCGGTTAAGTTTGCACATTCCACTTCGGTGGCCCAGGGTTCGCTGGTTCGGATCCCCAGTACAGACACGGCACTGCTTGGCAAGCTATGCTGTGGCAGGCTTCTCACATATTAAAAAAAAAGTAGAGGAAGATGGGCATGGATGTTAGCTCAGGGCCAGTCTTCCTCAGCAAAAAGAGGAGGATTGGCAGCAGATGTTAGCTCAGGGCTAATCTTCCTAAAAAAAAAAAAAATTTATTATCTTTTCAAATGGAAGCATTTAGATAATCTTGTCTTTATTTTATGAATAATAAAATAGCATCCTCCTTTAAAATATTTTCTTATGTGGAAAATTTCTACACATTATACCATATATTCTGTGATAAAGTTACCTTATTTAGGCTACCAAATATTTTAATGGTAAATCTTGGTAATTCACTTTATTGTTATTAAAATGAGTGAAAACTAGGAATGATATATTCCTCTGTTTTTGAAATCAGGAAAAGAACTTAATTTGCACTGATAAATTTGGAGGAAATGTATGTGAAGAAATGAAAAAGAAATGCAAGTTTTTAATCTTGAGTGGTAATATTGCCTAAAGTAGAAAGAAATTACCTAAGAAGATTTCTACTGTTTAAAGAAATATTACTCTGGGCCAATAGAACTAAATATATTCCTTTTGCTTTAAGACCAGGGTACATCCTAGTCCATAATAGTCCAAACAAGTGTGTCATTTTATCAGAATTCCTTTTCTTATGAGAGTTGATAAAAATTCTTTTTTAAGGTATGCTTTATGTGAGATGAAGATAGATCTGAATTTGATTGCCACAGACAGTGAAAACTTGGATGAGAGTACTTAAATTCACATGTTGAAAGTAAAGCTGAGCTAGAATAATTAGTGTCTATTTTTTAGTGTCTGGAGGTTTGCTGTTGGGTTTTAGGGTGATGATCGCACTGAGATTACTCATCTTACAATCTTCATGCCACGTGAGACAGGGCAGTAATTTTGATAACTGTCACCCTTGGGCTGAAAATCAAGCTCTAATTTTAATTTTTTTCAAAAAGCAAATTTCTTAAGGATTTTATTTGTTCAGGAAGGAAAAGCAAATTTGGCGCTTTAAATGTAGATTATTTTCAGTGATCAGAAAATGTGAAAGTAAGTTTTATCATAAATGGAGATTGTACATTTTTCTTTGTATGCGAAATTAGTTCTCATTCCTGCAGGAAATAGAAACATTTTGCCTACATTTCCATTCAAGCTTACCTTTTTAATTCAGAGAAACCTAATACTGGCTTCCTGAAAAAATGCACTTACTTTATTTTGAATAATCACCCTGTTATCAGTGGCTTTCAATTAGGAAAAAAAAATCTCTCGGTTTTGTGGAAAGCCTCTTGGTAGCTGAGCGGCAGAACCCAATTTATGAGTCAATTATAGCCTTGATATAGGTCTGCAAACATTTCTTTGAACCACTTAAGCTAAATATAAATATTAAAAACCTTATTCTAATAGAAAATTAGTTGAAATATTTTAAAGTGCATGAAAAACAAATATTTTACTTATACTTTTGCTATATTTTTACATGTAAGTCCAGAAGTACAAATATGTAATGATAACAAATATTTTTCAATGTAAACTTCATTTGATTTTCCTTGCTTAAAAACCACTCTATCTTATAGGTACCTAACAAATTATGAGTTCTCATCAATAATCATGATTTATTAAGAATATACATATACTATTTTGTAAGAATTGTTAACTGAAAAAGTTTATCTCCTATCTCAACCCAGAGTAGGCACTGAATTCTAGCTGTTTGATCTTGGCAAAGTTATTTGTCCTCTCTGAGCCCCACTTTCCACATTTATAAAACAGGGATAAAAACACCCGCCTCATAGAGTTGTGAGGAGCAAACATTTGTTGTAGAGAAACACTCGTCATGGATCCTAGTAAATCCTAGGTGCTCAATTAAATGGAGCTTTAGTGCCCAGATCTCATGGTCACTGTTGGTCCGTGCCTGACTCGACTCTCAGCAGCATTGGACACAGTTGGTTACTCTCACCTATTTGAAGCATTTTCTTCATCTTAATAGCTCTCCCTCACTACCCATTTCTTCTTAGTCTTTTGCCTTTGGCCTTTGGAATTATGGGAGTGCTCCATAGCTTGGTTTGGGGCTCTCTTTTCTTTCTATAACTCTCACCCAAAGGGCCCACTTCCAGTCTCGTCTTTACGTAATAGCACGACTTTAAATTCAGCACTCTCTGCTTTATACCTCTAGCCACTGAGTTCCCTTCTCAAGTACCCAGCTGCCTCCTCGACATCCCTACCTCAGTGTTGGATGGGCACCTCACACTGGACATTCGAAGTCAGAACTCTTGGTTCCTTAGTCCTAACTTTCTCTTCCCCTAATCTTTCTCACTACTTTAAATGGCACCACCATCCCCCAGCTATTCAAGTTCAAAACCTAGGAGTCATCTTTTATTCTTCTCTTCCCTCACCTTCCACATCCTATACATCAGCAAGTCTTGGGAACCCTGTCTTCACAAAGAGTCCACCCACCTCTCTCCACAGAGGTCCAGCTGTCACCACCTTTGGCCTGCACTGCTGCAGTCGTGTCCCCACAGGTCTCTGCTGCCATTCACTCGCCCCACAGCAGGCAGGGCAATCTTTCTAAAAGGAAAATCAGAGAGGTGGAAATTACAAATACCCACTAAATAAAGAACTTGCCACTTTTTGCTAGACTTTAAAAAGACTTCATTTTATTAATTTGTTTAACTTACATGTCATATTTTCCATGGTCATTATGCTATAGAAAGAAGTTCCCCAAAAGGACAAATTAATGTTCAGAAGCATAATAGGTGCATAACACCACTGCATTAGAACAGGTGTCAGCTAATATCTGTCCTCTCTTTTTGCCATGGGTGCTTCTTAATGTCCAGACTTTTTTTTAAGTGTGCAATTCGGTGGCATTTGGTACCTTTGCTACGTTGTGCCACGATTACCTCCATATAGTTCCAGAACATGTTCATCACCCCAAAGGACTTAATGTTGAAAAATTAATTTTACTTTAAAAGATATCTTTGAAATTTTTCAGCTTGTGGAATTTGCTAGGGAACTTAAAATCCTTAGCTATTTACAGCAACTTCTTTATTTTAAGTTTCAAAACCCTGTTAAAGTGCCTGAAAATTTTTAGATCAATATGATGTTTTATGACCCAGTTACTTGCATAGATTGAAGTTTACTGTAAAAAAGCTTGTGAAGACAGTTTGGGTGAGATTATGATGCATGGCGGTAGCAGTGACATAAAAAGTAACAGTAATGCTGTCTGAGTCTGTTCAGGCTGCTGTAATGAAATACTGCAGACAGGGCGGCTTATAAACCGCAGACATTTATTTCTCACAGTTGTGGAGGTTGAGTAGTCCCAGGTCCAGGTGCCGGCATGGTTGTGTTCTGGGGAGGGCCCTCTTCCTGGCTCACAGCCGCTGCCTTCTTGCTGGGTCCTCGAGTGCAGGAGGGTGAGGGAGCTCTCTGGGCCTCTTTGTAAGAGCACTAATCCCATTTGTGAGGCTCCACCTCATGACCGACGCAGCCCCCAAGGCCCCACCTCCTAATACCATCACTTTGGTGGTTCCCATCTCAACATATAAATCTCGGGGGGGACACAAACATTCACACTGCAACAAATGTTATATATAAACAGTTATAAATTAATAAATGCTACTAATAACACAATACTGACTTATTGCACATTTATCACGAGTTGTCAATGTGCTGTGTGTTATAAAAAATAGATATCAGGTGTGTGAGCATGAAGACATATTCTTTGTTTAAAAGACATGGTAACAGGGATAGAGAGGCTGAAATGAAGGGAGTGACAAATTTATAGTGCGAAAGTGGACAGAGGAGGAGAACAGAGTATCACGGATTTCCAGTGTAGAGATATTTTTGATCTTTATGAACGTTGCGTTATTTTAGTGATCATAATGGAAGAGAGATTTGAAAGACTTATGGTAGAAATCCCATTGGGTAGTTTTGAGTAGGTTTTTCTTTCTCCTCAGGAAGGGCATGAGCTCCCTGTGGTCGACGTTTGCTCTCAAATGTCCTCTTTTCTAAAACTGCATTCCTCCAGACATTGTTGTATAATTATTCTATTAATTTCCTTAAGTAATCATAAATAACCCTAAACACTGCTGACTATCGGTGTGCTTCATTTTTGCTTTTCGTCTCTCTTTGTTCTGACTTTGAGCCGTCACAAGCAAAAGGCTCCGTTTGGGGAGGGATTCCTCTCAAAGAATATCCTAAAATGTGTGACAAATGCATCCATACCACGGACAGTGTCTAAAGTGCTGCCTGAGACATGTTCTTGATCTGAGTGTCGAGCAAGGAGGGCTCGGACGGCATTTCTTGCTCTAAGCCCTTCATAAGCTGGGGAGGGTCTCAGTGGAAGCAGAAGGGTTGCATTTGTAGATGTGAGGACTGAATGAACCTCTCCTCGGGGTAAAGCTCTGCCCGCGGGTCACTGTGGGCCCCCTCTGTACCCGGAACTGGAGCAGGTGCTCAGCTAGCCGGAGAAGCAAAGTAAGAACCACCATACTCAACATGGCACACATTGAATTCTGTATTTTTAATCTCCATTTCCTCTACTGCTGTGAGATTTCTGCTCGTACTGAATTTTGAAGTTTACCATTAAATGATGACTTGGCAGTGACTGGTTTGTCTTTCTTCCCCAGTATAAGAAATATCGCTCTTCTCATGCGCACACCAACAACTTTGCCAAGTCTGTGGTCAACCTTGTGGATTCTGTGAGTAGCCTGGTTTTCTTGAACCTATTTTTTCAAGATGGAATGGTGTTATTGCTATTCGCTTGTTACTTCAGTTCTTTCTTGGGCAAAAGTAAAAGTGCCATCCTTGAGCTCATCTGGCTGAGAAATTACAGAGTGGTCTGCCTCACCGAGAGCAGTGGTGTCAGAGTTTAGGGAGATGTTGAGTTATGCTTGGAATCCCAAAGCTGTGTTAGCATTGCTTCAAGTCGCGTCTAGACCTCATTGTCACCAAGCCTGGAAGGACAAAAATAGTGGAGAAAACGAGCTACCAAAAGAGTGTAAATTGTACTCATCAAATGAGACTTTGTTGAGCTTATGGCAAAAGAGATATATGTTCTGTGTATATATATGGCAAAAGAACTAGTAATTGTCCTAAATATATGAACTAATAATTGTCTTATATATGAGCTAGTATTGTCTTAAATGTATAGCAGAAGAACCAATATCTTGAGGTGGAGTGTGTTTGGAGAATAGAAGAAATATAAAAAAATTTTTTAAAAGAACCCAGATTTATTTTCTTAGTGTTCCCATTAGTCGAATGCTTCAGACTTTATTTCTAGATGACAGAATTAAATGCAATCTTCAAATAAAACTAATTAGAAACAGTAAAATATATATCTTCTTACAAAGGCTTCTAACTACAAATCTTTCATATTGATATTTTTTGCCTCTCAAAGTTATAGAGAATGAAAGTTAAGATTTTCTTCCTTTTTCCTGCTTTAGGTAAGAATTCGATAGATGTGAATATTATTCATTATGTTCCAATAAATAGTTTAATTTGACTAGTCATAATTTAAAAATAGTATACTACTTCTTTGTGTATTCTAATGTAAAGTGCTATCTTGTTCAGCTAAAAATATTTTTACCTGATATTTACTGTATGTTCCCTCTTAACTGGGAAAAAAAGCTTTTTTTTTTTTTTTTAAAGATTTTTTTATTTTTTCCTTTTTCTCCCCAAAGCCCCCCGGTACATAGTTGTGTATTCTTCGTTGTGGGTTCTTCTAGTTGTGGCATGTGGGACGCTGCCTCAGCGTGGTCTGATGAGCAGTGCCATGTCCGCGCCCAGGATTCGAACTAACGAAACACTGGGCCGCCTGCAGCGGAGCGCGCGAACTTAACCACTCGGCCACGGGGCCAGCCCCGAAAAAAAGCTTTTTATAAATTGCCAACTATCTAAATGATACTTTCTCCAAAGAACTGCCCTCTTGCCTGCCTTTTAAACAATCCAATCACCTCCAATCGTGAATACTCATGACGTGTCATACCTGGCCGACACAGCAGAGCGCAGGTAGAGCGTGCGAGGATGGGCACGCTGTATCATGCAGAGTTAGGGCTCAAACTCGGAGAGCCAGTTGATACCCGGCTTATTAACTTTCTTTGGTTTCAGCTCTTGTCAGTCTTCTCAGAGGAAAACTATAAGTGAATATGGAAAAGAGAACTTAAGCACAGCTTGTCCCTTGCCACAGCTGTTTACTCTGGAGCGTCTCTGTGTTAGACGTTTCACCGTGATTTAATAGAATCACGTCTTGCAAAGAGAAGTTTTTATTTTGGGTTATCATACAAGCTTCTGGGGCCGACCAAGTAATTTTTTTTTTTTTTTTTTTTAAGATTTTATTTTTTTCCTTTTTCTCCCCAAAGCCCCCCAGTACATAGTTGTATATTCTTCGTTGTGGGTCCTTCTAGTTGTAGCATGTGGGACGCTGCCTCAGCGTGGTTTGATGAGCAGTGCCATGTCCGTGCCCAGGGTTCGAACCAACGAAACACTGGGCCGCCTGCAGCGGAGCGCACAGACTTAACCACTCGGCCACGGGGCCAGCCCCCCGACCAAGTAATTTTTAAAAGACGTTACGTTTCACTCGTTCCTCGTTGTAAACTCGTTACAGCTCCAGGTTGCTTTAGATGTGATAATATTTCCTTTCCTCACTGTCTTCAAAGATCATCCATCATTTTCTCAAATAGCTTGAAAATAGGACAAAATGACAACCTTCATTGAAATTGCTTAGTTGTGTGAGTTATTTAGCTATTGGGCCAAAAGTAGAGAAAGAGAGCAGAAAGACAGTTTAGACATTGTGAGTGAGGCCGCCCGGTGGTGAGGATGGAGGGGGTGGTGCAGGCTGTTCCTCCCTGTGGGCCTCAGGTCCGTGCCTCTCTCCCAGGGCTCTTGTACTTGTCATATGACAAGGCCTCCAGGGGAAACCCGCCACGCTGTTGGTGCTGGTCCGAGGACCTAGTGACCGTTCCAATACTGCAGGACCAACGGGTCGTACTGCACTTACTCAGAGCCGTGGCCAGGCCCCAACCCATTCCCTCCTGCGAGGTTTGGAAGCTGACTTTACTGAGCCCTGTTTTGAATTTATCTCCAGAGTTTAGAATCTTGACATCCCCACTGTCTGTAGTGAGATGCTGGGCCCCTAAATGTGCTGACTCGGGATTGAAATCCCCTTGCAGGAGAGGCCAAGTTGTGGAATTGTTCTTTGTTTTTGCTCTTGGAAAAGAGAAAGGAAGGGGGATTCTCCATGAAGAGCTAATGCTGACCTCGTGTTCCCCTCCCCTCCCCCCGTCCCTCCGCTGACTCTGAATCACTGATTGTGCATGTCTGACCCAGTGTTTTCCTCCTGCACCTGTCCTGTTGTCTACCCTCAGATTTACAAGGAGCAGCTCAATACCAGGGTTGTCCTGGTGGCTGTAGAGACCTGGACTGAGAAGGATCATATTGACATCACCACCAACCCTGTGCAGATGCTCCATGAGTTCTCCAAATACCGGCAGCGGATCAAGCAGCATGCTGATGCTGTGCACCTCATCTCGTATGTACCGGTAGTCTATGGTTTGACATTTGTCTCTATCCCTTTTATCAGTTGAGTTATATATCAATGTATTGATCTTGAACAAGATTGATGTTGAGTCCTCTCTCTGTTGTATAGGAAGCATGAAGGTAGGCTGTCCAGTGTTGAGATGGGGGTTCCACAGTCGTTCCTACTTCCAGATCTTCCATTCTCAAGGTCAACTTATGATTCAAGATGGCTGCTGGTGCTCCAGCCATCACAACAGGCAGCAGGAATCTCAGGCAGGGAGGAGTGCCAAAGGGCACTCCTTCCAGCTGAGTTAGCTCCCGTAGAGCTGATTTCCTGGAAGCTGCACATATCAATTTCACCAACAAATCATGTGCTAGATCTTAGTTACATGGCCACACCTAGCTGCAAGTGAGGCTAGGAAGTATAGTCTTTTGAGGTGAACCATTGAATAAAATTGAGATTTTTATCCCTAAGGAAAAGGGTACCATACTTTCTTATGATATAGTAAGCTGTTCTCTTCCCCACTCAAGGCGAAGCTGTTTTCAGACAGTCCTCAAGTATCTGTCCCAGAATCAGACCAAGCGAGTCCTCTTTCCTTTCCTCTCACCTTTCCTCTTTCTTGTCTTTTCTCTCAGCCTTTGATCAGCAGTTTGTAATAATCAGCAATATTTTGCATAACTGCTAGATATTTCCTCCTAGAAGAAAGTCAAAGCGCTGGTCTGTTTACCTCTGTGCCTCAATTCCTGTGCCAGTGGTTAGTAGGTGCTCAACTAATACTGGCTCAACTGGGGTTATTTAACGTGACGTAAATTTAAAGGTATTTAAAACAGTTTTTGACTTCTCAAAGAAGGGTGAGTTTGGGGTCTTCGGCACAGGAGAGTGAGTGACATGTTGTGGGAGAGTTTGTATCATGGTCGGTACATTGATTTCCTAATAGCACTTCTCTTGTCCCCAAGACGTGTGACGTTCCACTATAAGAGAAGCAGCCTGAGCTACTTTGGAGGCGTCTGTTCTCGCACAAGGGGAGTTGGTGTGAATGAGGTAAATTTTATCAGTTTTCTTCCAGCAGAGTTTTGTCTTTGCATCTGATCTTTTTCTTTCCTGTGGCCTAGTTTACGTCCCTCTCAGGCTTATTTAGGGTGACGGTGACATTGAGAATATAGCATGAGTGGGTTTACGTTAGTAAGTAGGACCCGAAGTGGTCTTCCATGTTAGAAAAGAGGTATTGCTTCATTTTATAATGATAGTTTTTCCCAATTATTGGGCAAATGCAAGCCAAAGATTGGCCCAGAGATTTTTTTGGCCTCTATATATAAGTTTTTATAAGCTTATTAATCCTTCTCTCATAACTTGTTTTCAAAGCTAAATGCTCATTCTGCCCGTGTTAGCTTTAACTCATTTAAATCAGAGTCTATGATTGTATCTAATCAGCATCTTTGTTTTCTCCCTATGTAAATCTTTCATCTTTATACCTTCTACCTAACTATCTTTAGAATTAAATGAAGCAAATATTTCCTTAATCTCATTGTTTGGATTTTGGTGCCTTCATTCATATAAAGGAAATTCTTATAAAAGTTGGCAACGGCACCCAAAAGCTGAACCAGCTATATCTAAACCCTGATCAATACCAGAGAATATTCTGCCAGGTTATCCCAGTATCCATCCCAAGTGGAGACCTCTTGGCATGTTTGTAGTGAGTTGAATTTATTCTTGGTTTGGTATGAGTTGAATGGGGGCACAGCCTTTTATCACTTGTATTTGATGTTTCAACGTGAGAGGTGCCACATAGTCAGAGAGGCTGTCTGCTTTTGGGCCCAGCTGTGAGGAAGAAGTGATGAGGAGCATAGAGCCCATCCTTTGATGCCACGAGGCTCTGTTAGGGAACTGAGATGATATGTGTAATGATTAAGAAATAATAACTAGCTTTGTGCACTCTCTCAAATGTTTCCCACACACTTTCAACTCTGAAAACAGTATGGTCTTCCAATGGCAGTGGCACAAGTATTGTCGCAGAGCCTGGCTCAAAACCTTGGAATCCAATGGGAACCTTCTAGCCGAAAGCCAAGTATGTACATTGACCTTCTTACTCACTTTCCTGTGCCATTCTGTCTGTATAATGCATGTCCAGTCAATAAATAAATATTTTTCATTCCTGAGTCGTTATAGTTTAATAGCAGTGTATTTCTTTCCTCTAAAAAAACATCATAAAATGAGCAACTTACGTAATTATTAATCTATTTGGGTTGTAGAAATGTCCTTTTCAAAATCTGTAAAGTCACGCTCGTTTTCTCAGAGGGTGAGCAGCTCTTTCTCACTCTGCAGACTCGGGGATGCGCGGTGAGGACTCTCCCTCTGGGTTCTCCCCCCTGGAGTGTGCACTCATGGTGCCAGATGAACCTCCGTCGCAAGTGTAATAATAGCGCAGTTGGATTGGGAGCTCAAACTCTAAACCTACCCACCTGCTGGAATTAAATGTACCCACCGGTCCCATCGGAAGAGCTGGGGAAGAAGCTTCCCCATCACAGGAAGGCCCAACAGGGCCGCAGATCCCACGAGTAGGAGAACAGCCGGGGCCTGCCGGGGCCACTGTCCTCCCTGGTCAGATGAGAGCTGGATGGGAAGACAGGGCTAAGTTTCCAGTGGCAAAGTGTCCAAGGCCCCCGATAGTTTTAGGGGTCTGTGAAAATTTTAAATTTCTTGTAAAGTCAGAGGAAAATCCAACCTGGATTTGATTCCTCTTTATACCAACACAGTAGTAAAATATAATTTCTAAAGCATCTTTTGGCAGAAGGGAGAAGTGCCAAGGGCCCACGTGATGCAATGCTGAGGAAAGAAGGACTGAGGTTCACTCAGGTTATTCTCTTGACCGGGAGTTAAGCGGAAGTCTACTACCCCTGTGAAAATATCAGACACCAGAGTGAGGGTCTCCCTCCTCCGTCCCCAGAGAAGAAAAGCACAGAGAGCTACCTTAACATCAGTCTGTATTTTATACTTTATTGACTACTATCAAATAATTGTCAGTATCAAATAAGTGTCATTAAGACATAGTATTATGGAAACTTGAAACAAAATATACATCTAGGGGTGTCTAGATTCCCCTTTGTGGGCATATTCATCGCTTTATGGGTGTATTAATTCTGGTGGCATTTAGCAAATCTCTACAAACTTTCCTTTATTAATATCTGGCTCGGAGTATTGGCTTTCCCCGGGAAATGCATGGTGCACAGGAAAGGAGGTGTTTCAGGTTTCATTCCCTGGCATGGATGCCTTGGAATCAGAAAGGAGTAGGACCAGGCTTACGACTTTGTTTGAAAACCGTGGAGGCAGGAAGAGGCCAGTGTGGGGTCCACTGAGATGTGTTACCCAGGTGGATGCTAGGGTAGCATGAGAAATAGGCTTCATCACTGACGCCTGGTACAGCTCCTTCCTCCTAAAATTCTTAAGTCATTTGTGAATTGTTTACTTAACTAGATAATTCGCTAGTTCTGAACTTTGAGTTTCTTAAACCCATTTGGAAATCTTTCTTTAAAAATATCTTTATCTGTGATAGAAAAGAGAATAGGAAGAAATAAATGAAAAGAGCAAGCCATCACAACATTAATATGCCAATCTACGGTATCTACATCAAGTTGATGATTGGTATTTAGTTTGAATGATTATTTACACTTCTATTTTGGATTGCTCTCTTACCCTGAGCCTTTCAGCACAATTTTATTCATGTCTCTGGCCCATCCTCGCCGTGCCTCTAGCAAATTGCCTTCTCTGACCTCCAGTGTGCTCTGTTAAAGGACTTGGTGGCGACTCATTGCGTTTGTGCAATGGAACATTACAGTTCTGAGAGCACACCAGCGAGCCGTCCATGTGAGCCCCGGAAGCACTCTGGGGGATGCCTTCCCCATTTTAGAGGTGGAAACACTGAGACCCGAGAAATGCCGAGTCAGGTGCCTATGGGGCTCCCTCTCAGGGGGAGCCAGGACCAGCACTCTGGCTCTCTGGTTTCTAAACCAGTATACTTTTCATTAAACATTGGAACTAGGAACTTGGTTGAGTTCTCTGAGTTACAAAAATGAAGACAGGCGCAATTTTATTTCTCGCCAGCTGTTGTCTTAGGAAGTGATCTATATGGCTGGAAAGGATAAAGAAATATTGATTGAAAAGAAGTAGGTTTTGTTTGGTGAGACTTCACATTCTGTGCCTATTTGATGTGGAATTGGTGATAGGAATTATTTCAGTGCAAATTAAAGATGTGACTTTTGTTGTCCCCTTTTCCTCTGTCTCTCTGATTGTTTCCTTGGACTAGAATGTGACTGCACAGAATCCTGGGGTGGCTGCATCATGGAGGAAACGGGGTAAATTTTTACTATGCATGCATTTTACACACGCCTTTGCTAAAATTGCTGCATATAATGAGACACACAGCCTCGCAGGTCCTGCTCTTCCAGACTGAGCCTTTAGTATAAACTCAATAATTAATTATCTGGTGTTTTAAAAGTAAAGGGTTAATTCACTTTATATTTTAGTGTTTCGTTTAAAGTTGGTGATAAAAGTAAAATATAGTAACAACCTCTACGTCTATTAACCCTTAAAGGAAGCACATTATTAAACGCTTCTAAGTTTAGTAGGGGCATTAATTTTTTGGTACACTTAGAATAAAAGCTGGTTGTCAGTGAAAATCAATTCAGTCATCAGTTTATATTTTAAAGTACTCGTAAATATACGTGCAATAGAAATTGTACTGTGCCACTTATACAGTCAATAACACTTTTTTGTAAGACAGATTGATTGCGTCTACATTAGTTAGTTTTCTGCTTGACAGACTTTGAGCACTTTCTCACCTGGATCCTCTCTTTTTCTATGGTTACTTTGGGAACTAGAGAGGCTGCCCCAGAGCTGCCGTTGCGTCCATGAACCGAGGCCTGGAAACACTGCCCTCTTCCCCGGGATGCCTGCCCCACGGGAGCTGCTGCCCGGCGCCCCCTGAGCTGGAGCCAACCCTAGTAGATGGGAGGGTTTCTCACCCACAGGCCTCTCCTTCCTTTGCCCAGGGCAGACCTCCGCTCACCACAGGCCGTTTCTGGTCCTGCCTCCACCCTTTGGGCCCCAGTTGCCAGAGGCCCTGACCTCCCTGTACGCTGCCCCTTCCTCATGCTTCCTCCAGGAGGCCAGCTCGTGGGGACGAGAGCCCCTGAGCCCGGGGTTTGCAGAGAGAGTCAGCCATTATGCCTGCTGTGTTAGAACACGTGTTTCTGGAAATGCAGTTTAAACTTGAGACTGTTGGCAGTCGTGGCCCCTTACTTTTGTCCCATAGTTTAGTATCATTATGGCCTCGGATGGCTGTAGGAAGGTAACCATTATGATGTTGGTTCCGGAGGGAGATGTCTTCAGTCTTCTAAACTCCCAGTTTCTAAATGAAATTTTGGACTGACTACCCATAGGGTATAACAAAACTGTTTAAAGTTCATATATATTTTCTCAAGTGTACATTTCTGCATAGTTAGAGTGAGAGACGACCGTCCCCAATGGCAGTTTTTACCTACTTCCATACACTGCGCTCGTACATCAGGATACACAGAGCTACAGAATTACAGCGCACAATAGGTGGCCTGTCACGCTCAAATCAAGAGCTAGTACAAATATGCCCAAGGAATCATTATGTATGATTCAGTGTGACCTTGACCATGTGTATAATATTCCCATCTGTACTAACACACAGATTGTAATTTGATTAATTAAATCACAGAGAGGCTCATGTTATATTCCTACTAAATCATGAATATCACCAAATAGTATTTGAAGTTGAGAATAAGGAGCTGTTCTTCACGGGATCTTGCCCATTATTGTGTGTATGTGCAGTAGAAGTGTGTGTATGTAGATACGTGTGTGGACGGTCTCCCGTCTCTCGGGGTCCTGTGGGCGTGAACTGTGCTGCTGAGCCTGCATCCAGCTCTGACGGGCTGACCTCGCGGCTCCCTCCTCCAGAGCGGGACTAGGCCTTCCCCAGCTCCCTTCATTCTGGACGAGGCCTGCGTCTTTGCCTCTGCTGAGACTCGCAAATGAAAAGGACCACGTTTTGAAATGCAGCCTAGAGGGAGAAGTTTCAGGATGAGCTTTTCAACACTTTCACCCCCAAGCACAGAAGGGTTGTAACCCAGGCCCCCAAATCTGCGATGGCCTTTGAATTTCTATTTTTACAAACTCTAGCACACACACTTATTTGGCAGTTTGAACATAAGTGCCTTGTCAAAATTTGTGTAGAATCATCTGGACCCAGAGTGAACATTTTGTTCTAATTCAAGGGTTTTAATTTTCTTCGCTGATGACTGCTTTGGGTAGATCATTTACATAATTGATTCTTTGTTTCCTCAGGGTGTCTCATTCCCGGAAGTTCTCAAAGTGCAGCATTTTCGAGTACAGAGACTTCCTGCAGAGAGGGGGTGGCGCCTGCCTTTTCAACAGGCCAACAAAGGTGAGTGACTTAGAAGATTCGATGATGTCTCCAATTTTTTTAAGGTGGAGCAGCACTAAGTCTCAGGTGCTTGTCTTGGAAGGAAGTTTCTTGTCAGTCAGATGAATACGTAGCTACAAGGGGCGTTATCATGTTGCAGACCGAGTCCTGTTTACAGAGTGACAGACCCACAGTTTCGCTCTTTCGAATCTCTGGTTTTCCAGGGCTGGGTGCTCTCCCCAGCGCTCCCCTCCTCAAAACAAACAAACAAGCAAGCAAACAATCCTTCAATTAAAATACCTTTGAAATGTTCATGTGAGGGTTTTCAACCTGCTGCTAAGAGTTCGTGTGTTAGGCTAAGACGTCTTACTTTAACCCATTTTTCTGACAAAAGTTCAGTTTCCCCTTGACATTCTAGAGGAGTAACTAATTTCTTGGCTTTTCTTTTTTTTTTTTGAGTGGTCTAATCTCCCAGACAGGAAGCATTGCTAATATCAGCTAGCCAGAAAATGGCCCCAGGTATTTATGGATTCCATAAATACATAGATGTATTTATAATATACAGTCTCTACCTGGAAAGGTCCACATGGTCAAGTGTATTTCATCAAAATATGTATATACAGTGCCACAATCCTTTACCCACAATTCCTTAACTCAAAAAAAGCTCTAAAAATTGGAAGTGTTTTTTGTAAGTTTCCAGAAAACACATTGGACAGTAAAACTTGTCCTGACCTGAAAATCTGTATTATCCCCGTTCACGTAAATATTCATGTCTTACTGCAGAAACGTTAATGTGTTTGATTAAAGGGTGTGCACCAGGCCCTTCAGGGTTATTACAGAGAACATGGTAAATGCATCACACTTTTCTGAAATCCAGCAAAGCCAGAGTTCCCAAACTCACCAGCTCTAAAGCTTTGGGATACGGGACTATGGACCTAAAGTGGCGTATTTGGAAATGAAGTTGCTCAAAAGGCAAAAAGACAGGATGGATGCTAATTAGCACATGGTATAGAAATGCTAACATTGCACATCCCATATTTCCTTTTAAAGTACTACTTCATAACTCAAATACAGTCCATTGCTGTACAAAATGTTTAATACCCTGCAAATTGAGACAGCAGTGAAATCATGTCAGCCTTTTTTTTTTAAGTTGGTGACTAATGTGAATAACTGACAGGGTAATTTATTCCTCTCCCCATAATTAAGTGATACTGCCGTAGTCGGGATGGTGGCTTGAAGCCTGACGTCTGTCTAAAATCTCAGTAAGGAAAGAGAACAGGTCTTTTAAAGCGACCTTGTGTCGTTAAACTCAGCCCCCTGCTCTCATGGCATTCATCTCACTGCGACAGTATGTGAAAGCTTCAGAGTGTTTAAAACAGGTGAAATGAGTAATGGTGAATTAATGTGAGCTGCCGGCGTTTTTGAATTGCAGTATACGTGGCTAATTTTACCTGCCTTGCAGCTCCTCAGCTAATTATAAGCATCTTGCCTGAGGAAAGAACGCTGAGTTGTTTGGAAAGCTTAAGATTTCTGATGCGTGTGTAAAGATGGTGAGCCACCTTTGGGTTTCAGAAATCGCCTGTGAGGAGAAAGACAGTTATTCCGATAACTTGGAAACTAAATAAAAATAACTCTACATCTTAAATTTTAAAAGTTAGTAAATATGGAATTATTGCTTTTTAAACTATGTATTAGAATGCTTAAGAAAAAGCTGCTGTGCATTCCAGTGGAATAGTTGACATGTATGTATCAAAGAACTGACTGTTTTCCAGGTGTTCCTAGTCGATCGATGAATGTACGTATGTGTGTTTGACGGGTTATTCTCACATTATCTGCTTGCATCTTCTCTGTGCTACGGGAGCCTTCCCAACTGCCGTGTTCTACGTCTGGTTTGTGACGGACCTGCCTCAAGGTGGCAGGAGGGTACTAGGGAAGACATACAGGAGGCGGTTCCATGGGAGGCCTGATTGAGAGCGCCAGCCATGTTCCAATCTGCCCTTCCTTTTTCCATTTTCTTCTCCCTGCTGATCAAAATACTTCAGAGATTAGGACTGTTGATTCACCCACTGGACTCCCCACGGGAGAGTCCGACCCAAGTCTCCTGGAAGCCTTCTTGCTTCCTGTGATCGCTTTCCCTTCCTAGCAGTGGAGGGAGCATCAGGTCTTCCCCAGGCGGGCTCAGTGGAAGGCAGCCCTTCCTGGGGTGTGTGGCTGCTGGGAGTGTCTCTTTCTCCCTCTCACATCCGTGGCTCCTAGCATTTGGGTTGGGATGTACTATTCCAGTCTTCACCAGGTGAGAAACTTGCCCCAGGTGATGAGAAATACAAATGTTTCTCATAAAGAATCAACTGCCTCAACAATTGGCCTGCAATACAGTTTATCTGGCCAGCAAGTTCATAGCACCGGCAGGTTGGACTATTCTAGAAATCTGACTCTTCCATTGCTGCAGGAATGGTTGAGAAATTTCTATGCCTCTTTGCATTCGTCTGCACATTTACTTAATATGCTTCAGACAGTGCAGATTTATTTTCAGTGAGAATGATGGGCGTGGATTTTTTCCCTAAGTTTATTTGCATTTACTTGATTGTATATATCACGTTTGGCTGTGACCGAAGCTTTTTTATCTTTCGACAATTTTTATATCCTCTCAGCTGCCTTGAGATAAGTCAGCAAATTAGGTGTCTGTGAGTTCACGAGCAGTGCATTTTAGCTCCGTGATCGGCTCCTCTTGACAGCTGATCTCCGTAGAAAGTGGCTCTAATGGTTGAGGTCGTCTCTGGAGCCCACCGCCAGAGAATCCTCCACGAGACATTATCCCATTTAAAATAGGTTTTCAGAAGTGTTATTAATAAGTGAACAGTATTTCCCACACAGACGTCATTTATAAGATGCGATAACCACAGATCACAGAGGAATATCGCGTGATAGCTGATTATAGGGCCATGTGTGTGGCCGATGGGTATGTCGATTTTCCATGATAAATTGAAACGTTTTCCCTTTCTCTCCCTGATCTCTTCCAGCTCTTTGAGCCCACGGAATGTGGGAATGGATATGTGGAAGCTGGGGAGGAGTGTGACTGTGGCTTCCATGTGGTAGGTATAGGAGATCTCTTCGACCTTCAGCTCGGCTCCCACCCAGAGCAAACGCGAACAGTAGGGGTGAGAAGCCTGTGCTGTGCTGCACTGTGATCCTTCTGCCTTGCTCTCTGATCTCTCTCATCAGCGCTTGGTGTCAGCTCAGACTCGTTAGAATTAATCATATCCTTATGGCCCCGTCTGAGAAAACCTAATGAATTCTTCTAATCAAATTCCCTACCTCTTAAAAATTCATAGCTCTATTCATCTTGGGCAAGTTTTACTAACTCATGAAACATTCTTTCTTGTTGTGTATTATTTTTGTCTTTGTAAAACTAGATTGAGTATTAAGGATGTAGTAGGGCTCACCAAAGGTGGGGTGACTGCTAAGAAATAAGCTGGCTTTTTGGTAGAGAAGCCCTGTGATAGAAGAGAATACTTTGCTGAGGAATATGGCAGGAAGGAATCTGTCGTTGTTTAAAGTGGTTAATTGTTTCTTGAAATTTTTGCTAACTGTTGTACAAATCTCTTCCTCTGGGTTATGTGTAAGTCACACGTGGAGTGAACGTTGAGCGGCCGGTGGTGTTCCCTGTCTTACTCACGTGCGTGTCTCCTGCAGGAGTGCTACGGGCTGTGCTGTAAGAAGTGCTCGCTCTCCAACGGGGCTCACTGCAGCGACGGGCCCTGCTGTAACAGCACCTCCTGCCTTGTGAGTTCCCTGGCGGTTTCATCTTGCTTTCCACTGACATGTTGGCCAAGTATTTCGGGGTGGACATGGAGCGTTTGTATAGCTTCTCACAAACTTGTTGGTTGACAGTGTGCATATTAGCCTGGCAATTTTGTAGAATCAATACATCTCCCCATTTTCTGTGGGTCACAACATTTGTCTTTACTGAGATTGACTATCAGCCGTCCTGTCCTCCAGTGCCTCCCTAAGAAAAGATCCTATACTCCATCGAAGTAAACGTCCAGGATTGCCCTGCTAACACGAGTGAAAACCAGATTAAATGGCCGAAGAGAAGACGGACACTTCCTGTGATCTTTTGAATAATATGGCCTACTTAGAACATTTTTCTTTAAAACTGACCCTAATTTATTTTAGACCTTGAGCCTAAAATCTAGTGCTCATATTTTCACATTTGGCTTTTTAAATTCCTTATACAGGCAAGAATGCCAGATGAGGGAGCAGTGTCTGTCTGTCTGTTTGTATGTGTCTATACACAGCCTGTGTGTGGACACAGTTACTTCCATCTGCAGAGACCTCCAGTTAGTTTTTGAAAAGTCATTTTTTCAGTCTTCCTTTTTCTCATCTATAAAACCTCTAATATTCCTTATAACCATAAAATTACATGATTTTATTATTTTATTCAATACCAAAGGGTGTTATGCATTATGGTATTCGAGAAGATTCTCGCTTAGTTTATACTTGCCTTGTTTCCCCTCCCAGATTATAAATTGCTTGAAGGGAGCAGGCTCTTTCCTTCGTCTTTTACCCACCCCCTTCCCAGACAAACAAAATGCTGTGTATACAGTAGGCATTCATATGAATTCATTGAAATTTGATTCTGTATATTTAGCCAAAGCAACATTGATGTCCAAGCTAATAGGTAAATTAGTGAAGGTTGGGTCCGTGCGTCAGTCTTCAGAGCGATCTTAAACGTTTCTATTTTAGTGCTTTGCTCTTTGCTCTTTTGTCTTAAGCCGCACCAGTGTTTCTTCTTTACAGAATTGCCATCGCATTGTTTTCCAGAAATAACAGTCTGAGACAGTGGGTTTTGACGTATGAACATTTGATGCCTTGGTTAATGATTCGTATTTACTGCAGAGAGTAGCCTGTGGGCCTTGTGTCCACTCTGCAGCTATCTTGCTGATTCACAGGGAGCGTGGTGGTGGCTATGAGAGGGTATCAGGGTTATTGGTGGATAGAAGAATGCTAGCTCTTTGAAGTGTTAGTTAGGCTGGCTCCTGATGCTGAGTTTTGCTTTGCAGTTTCAGCCGCGAAGCTACGACTGTCGGGACGCTGTGAACAGCTGTGACATCACCGAGTACTGCACTGGAGACTCCGGCCAGGTACGGCCACCGAGCTTCAGCTAACACGGTGGACTTGCAAATACACATTTTAGAGCTTTCAATTTGGATTACATATGAGAACATGATTAGGTTCCTTTGTTTTTTGTTTTAATTTACCTTGTCTTCTAGTAATTTCTAGCTCTTCACCGTGCCTTTATTTTAGGAACATTTATTGCATTTGTTTGGGGAACCAAATGTCTTTTCTTCTGATTTTTCCCCTTCAAAATTAGTTCCTTTATATGGTTTACATCCAACTAATTGATTTTTTCTTTCTTGGTCCCCACATCTAAAACAGTATGTTCACACTAATGAAACACTAGTGTAATGTTTTCAAACATTTTTAAGCCACAGAAACTTTTTTTTAAACAAAATTTTGGATGGAAGCCCGATGCGGAAGGCGGAGAACAATGAGCAGGGCCCTGGCTGAGGCGCGATGGGGAGCAGCACTCTGCCCTCCTCAGCTCCATCGCCGTCTCCCTTCTGCTTCCACGGCCCTGGCTCCACGGCCCAGGCGCTTTGGCATGATTCTTCACGTGAAATTATTATTACACGTTAAAATTATTGTAGTGTTTAATTTAATTATATTAAAATTATTATAGCATTTTAATTAATGTTGCCTTCTAGCATTCCTTCTTTATATAATTTTTATGTTTTTAAAAATTTATATCATGTTACTTTAAGACTTTGTCATTCAGATGAATGTTTGGTGAGCATCTACTGCTGTAAACGATGGGGTGTGGTGGGGAACAAGAGAGACGAGTCCTTGCTCTTTCGTGGAGCTTGCATTCTGCTGGGTGGAGGAAGGCAAATAAGTGACAAATGTGTCAGCAGGTGGTGCGTGCTAAGCGTGAGATAAGGTGGTGTGAACAGAGTGAGTGGTGGGGAGCTTTAAGGGGGCGACCAAGTGCGTTTTCCTGGAGAGGTTTGCGTTTAAGTAGAAACACAAATAAGAAGGAGCTAGTCAGAAAACGGAGCACAGAAGCCTGGCTTCTTCAAGCAACGGGATGGAAGCGGGGCCAGCAGGAAAACAGTGGAACCATTCACAGAGGAAGTCGGGAACCAGGGCGGGTGGGGACTCCAAGAATTTTGGATTTCATTCTGTCTTTGTTTTCGTTCTGACATTACTTCTAAAGCATTTCCTGTACTGTTACACAGTTTTAATAAATACCCTTTTTACAGTTGTATGCGAGTCTGTCACGTGGATTTATCAGTTCACTTCCGTATCCAGTGATGGATATTTAGGTTGTTGGCAGTTTTTCATTGTTATAATTAATAGGGCAGTGAGCATCTCTGTGCATTTTTAAGAGTGTTTCCTGTTTCAGGCTAGCTCCTTAGGACAAGCTCCCAGGAGTGCACTTACCTGTTGCAGGTGTGGTGGTGTCCAAGGGGCCAAATATCATTTTTACTTGAAAATGGCCATTTGAAAGCTACAGCTTGGTGTGAGGGCTCAATGGGCCTCTGTAAGACCCCAGATTCAGTCTGTCGCACCAGCTTATTGACAGTATCGGGTCTGGAGTGACCTCTCCCTTCAGAGGCTGGCCATCACCTTGTATGTCCTGGACGAGCAGTGAAGACAGTAGGATTTATGTGAGTAGACAGGAGAAGAGCGGCAGAACTGAGCCAGAATGCCAAGTTGTTCTTCCCAATTTTATCAATCAAACAAGCACTCGATCGGCCCGTCAGTCACTATCCTGCCTGGAGAAGAAGTGGGTAAGGGAGGAGAGAGTAGCTGGAGTTACACTGAGTGCCCCTCACTGGAAGGAAGCATGAGGAGCGGGAAAGAAATGTTCCTAATTAACTTTCTGGAAAGTTCTTGATGTATATCGTCTGAGGCTCCATTCAAATGGATCCTTTTAAGGATGTTGATACAAATAATCAATGACCAATGTATAGAGAAGAAAGACAGAGTGGTATTTATTGAGCCAATGCTGAGGACTAGCCCAGAAGTGCTGCCTCCACCAGGGAAGACAGAGCTCCGGAGAAGCGTGGTTCACAGCGTGGCTGTATACCATTTCAGAACAAAGAGCACACAGCAAGCATGACAGGAAGACAGTTTTCTCCCCGAAGTCACAAGGAGATGTTTTGCTACAGTTTAGCACATTCGCAGCACGTCAGCCTGACCTTGGTTCTCCAGGAAGAAGAGCTTGTCTTCAAAGGAGGACTGGTATCGGCGTCCAAGAAGGAGAGGCATTCATCCATGTCTTTAAGGAGCGCATCCTTTGCTTTGGGAAGATGTTTGAAGCGGATGCACGATGCTTGTCCCGTGGGCCGGGAGTCAGGCTGCTCTGGGAGAAAGAGGCTTGAGGCCGAATCAGGGTTAAACCAGAATGACTTCCCTGCAGACCTCAATATTTGAAAACTTATTATTATCCTTATTATTTTCATCAAGGATGTGGTAGTAAAGTACATTCAGGCTATTCTGTTGTGATTTTTATGCATATCTGTTTCTTATATTTAAATGTGTAAATAGGTTTCTTTGCACTTTTCCTATAACCTGGTGGCAGAGTGTAAGAATTGTGGATTCTGTGATTTATGACGTGTACTGACATTCCTGATGTACTGTTCCAATGAATTATATTTTTGGTTTTGTAGAATACTACTATTTTTGTATCCGTCATACCTGGTTTTGGTTCTCTGTATTCAGCTCTTTCAGAAGTATAGTTTTTCCATTTCAACCTTTAACTCCTGAATTGCCATAGAACTTACTGGAAATAAAGCTTTTATAATGAGGCCTCTGTGTTCAACCTAATATTCTATTATCTAAATTTTAAAAAAGGTTCTTTTTATCTCATGTCTAAGGTGAAAAGGGTACCGTTAACGTAATTTCTCAGTGGCATATTACAATAATGTGTTCCTTTTATAATAATTTCCTTATGTGACCGGAATGAACCTGAAATAGATAATTAGAGTAGAGGGAGTTAAAACCCCCCCAAATTCTTCTGCTCTGTAGGAGGAAGTGAGTTTTGAATTTAGTTAATACTAATAATGATCAAGAAAGTGAGATCTCTGAGAATCTGTGTCTCTGAGAATCCATATCATTGGCAACATTATGACTTTCTCTCTTTTATCTCATGATATGTTTCTGCTTAATTCTCATGCTAGCATTTACTGATGCCTCTGAGCTACATTTTAAATTCACAATTTATAAGAGAAAAAAACAATACTTGTGCAAATGAGAGAAATCCTTGGCAAACAATACTGGATGATAAAGATTTTTGAAAGATGTGGAAAGGCTTTTTGTTAGCACTCTGAAATATGTCATCTAAAGGGGTAGGAAAGCACCATTCAAAATAAGCACATGGAGATGCTTTTACCCGGCTGAAGCCTGCCTCAGGTGAACCTGTCTGCGCAGCACCAGTGGGGCTGGGATGGCCTTTAGAGACCAAGCCCGGAGCTCTACTCACAGGCAGAATAAAGCGCACAGTTTATGGTTCTTCTGCTTTAAATGTCTCCAGGGAACTAAGACATCCCATAACTTCCCTTGTTAAACATTTTAGTGATAAGCAACTGGCTTTTATTAGCGTAAACTAAAAGTAAATTAATTAGAAATCTCCTTACGTGTAGCTATGACAGTTTATAATAAAGTCTTTTTTTTAATTAATGAAGAATTCTACAAGTTTTTTCCTATTGAAACATCACAAAAGTAAAAAGTGACCAATAATTTCAGACCTCGATGTGCCTGTTGTGTACAATGTTTCTTTTGCGTTTTTGTGCTGTGTGGTTGTATTTGTCTCGGAGCAAGTGAATACTTAATGGTGGTTGATGAGTAAGATAATGATTGTGTTTCAAGTGGATTTGAGTGGATGAAAGAGGCCACAGGGATCTCTGTTGTTGTGCAGTTGGCCGGTACGCCTGGTTTTAGTGCTGATAGTTACATCCTTTGAATAGTTGCCATCAGGTTGAATGAAAAGCTGTGGTGAAGGAAAGCTCATATGAGAGTCGGTTATTCTTTAGAAAGATGTAGAACCAAACCGTTTTATGTCAGTGTCCCTTAGTAAGTTATTGTCTCAACAATTCTAGATTAGTTCTGTTATGTTTCTGTAGTGAGCTTGATAACCAGCTGGATACGTACAGAATAGAATTGCTTCATTGTACCCGTATGGGTCACTCATTCATCTTCTCAGTCAGCCAATGGGAACCGAGCACCTACTCGATAATTGAGCTTGGTTTTGTTCTAAGTGCTGGGTGGCAGCAGGGAACAAACAGGAAATCCTTGCCTGCGTGGAGCTCGAGTTAGGATGGGGACCATAGACAAATGAGTTAAATCTATGGCCCCTCTGCTGGTGGTAAGTGCCATGGGGAAAATAGAAACAGGAAAAGCAGACAATGCTGGCATGGGAGGGATTACGGTTTTGAAGAGCACAGTGAGAGAAAGCTTCTCTGAGATGCTGATATGTGAGCAAAGCCCTAAAGAAGGAGAGAGAGCAAGCCATGTGGAGACCTGGGGAGATGGCAAGAGGAGCAGGGGCAGAGGCTGTGGGGTGGCCCATGCCTGGCACATGCCCGTAGAGTCAGATCAGTCATGGCAGAGTTGGAAGGAGGGCAGAGAGATGATGGGGCTGGCGGATGGCATAGGAGCAGAGCATGTTGAACTTTGAAGGCCAGTGAGTGAGCTGGGAAGCCACTGAGCAGAGGAGTGACATGATGTGGTTTATGTCTTAAAGGGACACTGGGTAGCTATATGGACCAGGAGACCAGAGTGGAAGCCAGGGAATCAGTTGGGGCTGTGATGTAATCCAGGTGAGCGATGGTGGTGGGTTGGACCAGGCGTTAGCAGTGGAGATGGAGCAAGTGGCCAGATCTGGTTCTATTTTGAAGGTAGAGCTAACAGGATTTGTTGACAGACTAGAAGGGGAGCGTGAGAGAAGGAGAGAAACACAGGATGACTCCGTGGTTTGGGGCCTGAAGGATCCGAAGAGTGAACTGTGCTTTACGGAGAAGGCGAAAACTGCGGGAGGGCCCCAGTGCATATCACTGTGTTTCTTGCTCACTTGCCACACGGCTGTGTTTTTCCCTTTTCATATTTGCTTTGAACACAGTGGCAGAGCCTTGACTTGAGCTATTTTTAGCTCTCTTAAATGTGGTCAATGAAGTGCACAGACAGTAAAAATTTTAATTTATTCATGGTAATTTTGGGGGGAAATGAAGCATACTTTATGATTTGATGAATAGACCTGGAAAAAGAAGTGACCATCACACCACGATTGCTCTAGTAACAAGTCTGTGGTTTGAGAGGTCAGAGCTGTGATGGAGATCCGGCACTCGCACCGAGCCTGGGGCAGGGTGCTTCTCCTTTTTCGGGAACGTGGCCTCGGTGAGGGTCAACGGGTGTCAGTGCGATTTGACATTTTCACAGAGCTGAGTAAGGTCTTGTCAGTTAGTTCCGAATGTGTCTGCTCCCCTATAACAAGCCGCTTCATCCCCTCCTCGTCCATTTGATCCCTTCTACTTTTAACTCTGTGAGTGAGCAAATATATATTACTACTCTAGTCACCTCAGCAAAAACAGAGAAACAGAAAAAGCACCCACTGCGTGGACCTAACTTACTGATTTTTACTAATAATGGGAGAATTAATTTGGATAACCTACTTAAGGAGTTATTCATGTTTTTCTCAACTTTCCTGATTATGTATTCACCACACTTGCATTCTTTTGCATTTTTAGATATTGTGCACGTAATCTGAAAGTGCGTAACACGCTGCACGTTAACTAAAAAGGTTCTATTTTTCAGTGCCCCCCGAATCTTCACAAGCAAGATGGATATGCGTGTAATCAAAATCAGGTATGCTGGGCTGCACGTTTTAAATGTAATCTTAAAAGGATTAGTTTGTGAATTTTTTCTTTTTGATAAATGTCGTTTTGAAGGGAAATTGCACTTCAAACAACAGTAAATTATTGCAGGGGTCTTCTGATTCAGAGTTGCTTCGTGTCATACCAAATACTAAATATATCTGGTGACAAATTGTCCAGATTGAGGGCAAGGAAAAAATGTAATGGCTGAAGAATTAGGGATCTAATTTATTGAGTTGTGACCATTTTTCAATAATTTCAGCCTATCATGGGAAAATATGAGCATTTGTTATAACATGGGGCTTTTTAGAAGCCACGTTATAACCTAACCATTCACATGCAAAAGAAGCTAAAAATCATTTTGGTATCACCCAAAGAAATGTACCAGTTTTTGTTTTCAGAGATTTTACATTTCAGATAGTTTGGCTTTAAAGAAGTGCTTGATGAGATCTGCTCTGAGTTCTAGATTTTAACTGTTATTCTTAAGATGTTTGCGATTCTTATTTTCACTGTGCAAATATTAAAGTATGGAGTGAAAAAAAACCTTATGTAAAGCAACGAAAACGAGACCTTGAGTAAAAGTCAGGGGGAATGTCAGTGGTGTGTGTGCCTCACGATGTGCGTCCTGTCCTCAGGGCCGCTGCTACAACGGCGAGTGCAAGACCCGGGACAACCAGTGTCAGTACATCTGGGGAACAAGTAGGTGCATTTTCCTCTGGACGGGCACACGCAGGTTTCCCTCAATCTTATTCTTCCCTGTCAGTCTTGCTGAAAGAGGTGTCCAGCTTGGAGGGATGCTTAAAAACAATCTATCGGAGGGTGAGGATAAAGAGACCTGTGGATCTTAGCTACAAAACCACAGAAAACAATGGCACAGTGAGGACTGGTCATGAGAACCGAGCAGTGTCATTGAGGGATTGTGGCCATAAGAGAGGAGTGTGACGTCCACTTGCAAAGGTTGGTGGACATGCATGGCTGACTTTGTATGCTGACTTACTCCTCAAGTCAGCTCTCTGCTCTTTTACCCCAAGGAAAGTACCAGACTTATTTTTTAAATTCTGTAATTTGTCACCTCCTTTTGAAGTGAAGAAAGGCAGGCACTTCCTGAGGTGCAGACAGAGGGAGATTCGGTACATGGTCCTGCTTCTCCATGTGTTCCCACTCGCTAGTCCACACCTTCTCTTCCTGACATCCACAGTGCCTCTCCACTGAACTCCAGTTCACGAGGGCCAGAGCGGGAGGAGAGAAATGCGTCTGCATGGCTGGCTGAGGCTGGGTCTCCCCCAGGGGGAAGGGCACCCACAGAAGGAGAGCAGAGCCCCTGCCTGAGTGACTTCAGGGTTTGTCAAACACCCTTTAGCTGGAAGATTGACTTCCAGTGCTTCCGTTTTGACAGAAGAAAGATACTAGAGGCATAGTCATCTTTTCAAAGGCATAAATATCAAAACCCAACTGCTGACATAGAATTTCATTGGGCCAAGACTTTATAGTATCTCCCGATGTTAGTATAAAGCAGGACTAAGAATGTGTATTAGTTTTCTGTGTGTCACTTCACTAATTCCTGCTGCTGACCATTCCTACCTCCCACCGTCAAAACCACCAGGTAGAACCGGGAATGCATTTGTCTCTCCAGTTAACACCAGCGGTGTGCCGGAGCTGTCGTGTGTTAGCTTGTCAGAGCCAACTGTTAAATTTTCACGGCTTTTTAGAAGCCATTTGACATCACATTCATAGCTTGAAATCAGCTACGTGTTACACCATGGAGGTTTACACGATGGTATTTACACCATGGAAATTGGAAAATGCTACAAATCAGGAGTTTTTTCTCTTTTTCTGGAGAACGGTTGTTAAACATTTATTGGCATGCTACTGGTTATGGATAACAAAGAGAACTAAAATAGCTTTTCTTCTCTTGCTCGTCTCCGAAAGAGGCGTCGGGGTCGGACAAGTTCTGCTACGAGAAGCTGAATACAGAAGGCACGGAGAAGGGCAACTGCGGAAAGGACGGAGACCGCTGGGTGCAGTGCAGCAAGCAGTGAGTGTTGGCTCCGGGGCCGAGCCGGACTCGGAAGCCCGCGTGCAAACGTGAAATGGGCACAAAGGAAATGTGACTGATTTTTTATGAATCTTCCACAATTTAAAATTTTAAAGTGTTCATTTAAAAAATACATTAGTTTATCTAGAGACAAAGGGCCATGGACTGAGTTGTTTCTGTGGCACCAACTCACACTGTTTCTGTAAAATTCAGAAGATTTCTCACATGCTGTATTTTACTGGATGCTCACTTTGAAGAGATGCTCCGCCAAGGTATTATAAATTAATATTAGGTTTTAATTTTCTACTTTTGCTGGAAGATATGGCCTGTGAATGTACTAGGGTGCACAGAGTTTTACAAGCAAAATATATAGACTATGTATTTTGGGGACCATTCAAAGTAAAATAATATATATTTTTGATCATTTTGTGAGTGCAGTGCCATTTGATTTAATTAAACATCTAATGTCTATGTCGAAGATTTTCCCCCTTCTAAAAAGCATCTGATTTGTGCATACTGGAGACATCTTTACTCAGGAAGTGAGGTGTTTTCAGAGCACATTGGTGATTGTTTTCCCTTGATTAGCTGAGGAAAGTTAAAATGGTGACTGAACAGTTTATTGAGGTTAGCTCAGTGCCTTGGATCTGTGCGACCACTAAGTTACAGGCCACAGCTGCCCCGTTTGCTTCCGCAGCAATGAGGATTTGTCTCTCAGCCTTGAAGCAGAGCCAAGACTTCAGGGGTTTTCCGTCTCGAGTTGACGGTTTCTACGTCGCATTTTAGGAAACTTGGCGATTCCACGTAGTCGTTGGTGGTGGATGAGGCCTCAGGAGGCAAGAAATCTTTGACCATAATTTCTTTAAAATTAAACCAAATTAATAGACCAGAGCTCCCCATCTGATGTCTCATGGGTGCCGTACAGATGCCCCGAGCTTTCAGTCCTCGAGGAGCCAGGGAATCGGAGTGGGGCCTAAAGTGGTCAAAATCCATGCGGTGGACGCCTCTGCATCTGGTTAGCCTCCGTCATTAGCTCAGTGTCTCAGACACCTGATCGTTTCTCCGTGTCTCTGTGAGTTCAGAAAGTCTGGGGGCCCTTGGATCAGGTCATTTAAAGATAGCTTTTGAGTATCTGGTAGCAGATCAATGCTACCAGAGCCATCAATGAGTTAAACCAGCCGTCAGTGAGTTAAAGAAAATCAAGGAGTGGTTTTTGAAACTTTTAAAAAATTGTGCAATATTACATACAAACAGAAAAATGAAGACTACACAAACATACATTTCGCCAACTAATTATGAAGTGAACTCCTGTGTAACCCCTGCCTGCGTCAAGAAGCAGAACCTCGCAGCATCCCGGGAAGCGTGTCCTTCCCCATGCAGGGCCCCCGTCTCTCTCCTGGAGCTACTGCCAGCCCGGCTTCCATGGAAATAATTTCCCCTTTTTCTTTAGAGTTTTACTGCCTAAGTTTTCATCCTTAAACAGTTTATTTCGCTCAAAGTTTTGGTAACTTTGTATTAAAGGAATCCCACTTCATGCGTTATTTTGTGTTTTGCTTCTTAGATTCAGCATCTTAAGGGTCCCATGGTGTGTGTAGCCGTCTGTTTAGAGTGGACATTTGGTTCATTTTCCTTCATATTCGTAGACCACAGTTTATTTCCCCATCCTATGTTGATGGGCATTCAGATCGTTGCCGTGTTTGGGCTACTAAGGACCACACTGCTGTGAGCATCCTTGTACCCATAACTCAGTGCACACTGTGCATTTTCTTCCAAGGACTGTACCTGGGAGAAGAATTGCTAAGTCATAGGGGATGCAGATGTTCAGTGCCACCAGGTGATGGTGGTCCCACTGTTGTCTGAAATGCTTGCTCTAGGAAACCCTACCATCAATGGGAAATCTCTGAGAACTGTGTTCTTCCACTTCTCACCTGCACCTGGGAGTGTAGGCATTTCACTTGTCTGTTCTGGTGGCTGTGAACTGCTATAATATTGTGCTTTAATTTGCATTTCCCTGATTACAAATGGAATCTAGTATATTTTCATCCATATATTGAACACGGATCTCTTTTTCTGTGATGTGCCACTTCAATTCTTTGCCCATCTTTAGTTCATTGTCTACTTAACAAATAGTCTGGAGGTAGGTGCCCTCATGGTGGGTTAAGTCCTCTCACAATGTCACGGAGGACCCAATGATTTCTACCTCTCTGCTCTGTGATGCTGAACGTGTTGGGTATCCTGAGGCTGTGAACTCGCATTGCAAAGACTCCACACTCAAGGCAGTAAGCGGGGATGGGAGCAAGAGATCTTCTCCCTATCAGGCCCTAACCTTTTATCCAGAGAGCAGGTTCTCCCCAGCACCCCCTCGCTGGCTTTTCCTCATATCTCAACACCCAGGGGCCACTTTTAACTCTAGGATGGTGGGAAGGAGGGTTGGCTGTGACAGTGGGAGCAGGGCACGGGGGTGCCATGACTGGCTCAGACACCAGTCAGGATCCAGCTCTCAGGGCAGGCAGGTCACTACCCCATGCAAAACTGTGATCCTGCTGGCAAGGAAGGAGGGCTCACAGCCAGCCACCAATGTCTGAACAAATGTGTTTGTTTAGAAGGAAAAAGAATATTTTCAATTTTTGAATATATGTGGACTGAAGAGTTTAAATTTTTTGAGCTTGATTCCTCCTGTTTTGTTCTTTTTTCTTCTGACGTGTTCAGTGATGTGTTCTGTGGACTTTTACTCTGTACCAATCTCACTCGAGCTCCTCGTATTGGTCAACTTCAGGGTGAGATCATCCCAACGTCCTTCTACCATCAAGGCCGGGTGATTGACTGCAGGTAACACATGAAATGTTGGAAAATGTAATGAATCATGAGAATTACAAATTTAGAAAAGTCAAGGGAGATGTTTCTGTTTCTCACAAGAGGAATGTTGACTTAGATTTTATTTCTCCTTTCATGTTGAGTCATTTAAAAAACAAAGTTGTATATTGATCTGCAAATTACATTTGCTCAAAAATTGTACCAATTATTAGTTGTGAGGCATTCCTTGTAATTATAACCTTAAGAGTAGAATTATGGTATCTGTTTTTGACCCATGATTAAAGTTTTGAGCATTGGAGTATGTTGCTATTTGACCGCTGTCTGTGTTTTATTTTTTATGACCAAATAATAGTTTAAGCCAAAGTTTATATAACATGTGCCTGGTTTACAAGATGATTTAATAAATACAATTACCTATTTGGGAAATAAGATGTGGGTAAAATAAAATAGAAAATATTTATAGTGGTAGGCAAACAATTCATATCCAATTATCTGTGAGTACAAGGCACAGAAGGTATGAGGCTTATTTTTTAAGCCCTAGAGTCATAGTATATTCAAATAAGTATTGTTCCCCTAAGTATAGTCATGTACCCACCATATAATGACATTTCAGTCAATGACGGACTGCATAGACATTTGTCTCATAAGATTAGTACCATAGAGCCTAGGTGTGTATAGGCTATACCATCTAAGTATGTCTAAGTGCATCTATGATGTTTGTACAATGACAACATCGCCTAATGACGCATTTCTCAGAATGTGTCCCTGTCGTTAAGTGACTCATGACTGTAGTCACAATTCTGAGATACTATACTCACATTCAAATGGTTCTGTCATTGCCCAAAACACTTTTGGGATTCCGCCTACAGAGTCACGTTCAGGGTCTGTAAACTTTTATCCTGAGTATCTCCAGAATAGTGGATCTTTACCTGATATGAGTGAATGTAAGATTTGGAAACATCCAAAAGTAATTTTGAACAAAATTTGGTAAATGGATTGGGCGACCAAATTGGATAATGCTGTGTTGGTCAAATGGCTGCTGATTTTCTGTCTTTTAAATGGCTCTGAAGGCGATTCTAACAGGGTCTTAGATAATAAGATCCTTCGTGGTATAAATTTTTAGACTCCAAATCAGTTGCTTTGATGTACTTAAGCGTCCTTTGAATGTGTAAGTTTTCAGGCGTCTTTAGCTACAACAACATTTTTAATTATACTGTTTTATTCTAACATAGTATATTTGTAGAATATTTAGCAAGATACTCTATTAGTAATTATAGCATTGATTATTATCAGATTCATTTTGTCCATAACTTTGAAATTTTAGAAGTAAGTATCAATAGAGAGGAACTAGTTTATTTTTTTTGATCCTGAATAATCCAGTCCTCTAAAGTAATAATAATAATTTTCAAAATGTTTTCATTTGCTATTTTTGCTCAACATCGCCTTTTTGTACTGTGACACATCTGAAAGCCTTAGAGAGCCAATGACAAGATCGCTTCCCTTGTTCTTATACAAACACCTCTCCCCTAGTCTTTATATTGGTTTTGAAAACAAGTGAAGATTTAGAATACACTTTGTGCAAATGACGTTTTGTTCCTGATGACAGGCAGTGTAATAATGATAATGAATAGTAGTTTCTCTTACCATGCTCTTTTATTAGGGGGAGGTCTGGGAGGGAAAGAGAAAAAGTAGAGAAAGACTAAGAGGAACCACGTCCACTGACAGCCTCCTCAGTTTCACGAAGAGCAAACCTCAGTCAGGTTGTTATATTTCTGTGTGTGGTACTGATGACCTTGTGAATATCTTTCTCCTTCTAGCGGTGCTCATGTGGTTTTAGATGATGATACAGATGTGGGCTATGTGGAAGATGGAACACCATGTGGCCCATCTATGATGTGTTTGGATCGGAAGTGCCTGCAGATTCAGGCCCTAAATATGAGCAGCTGCCCGCTCGATTCCAAGGGTAAAGTCTGCTCAGGCCATGGGGTAAGTAGGCGCCAGCGTCCCAGTTAAACCTTCATTGTCCGACATCCTCAGGGTTCGCAGTGGTCAGACTTCCAGTTCAGTCATTCTCCTTCTGTGGCTGCTGCCAATGTCTGTGCACTATGATTATTGCCTTAGTACCTTTATCTGCTAAGAATAACACCCATGTTTGTTAATACAGTTTTATTTTTATTGTTTCTTTTATCACTGGCTATTTGTATTCACCACATTCTCTGGATATAGCTTGGCATGTAAGGAGTTGGAAGAAAATTGATATGGTTCCTAAAGGAGCTGTAGACCTCAGTGACTACTTTGTACCATTCAGAATAACTTAAACCCTCTCAGTAATTCCCTTTCAGCTGTCAGCATGCATACCGAGTATCTGTGTGTGGGAGATCATACTAGACTAGAGGTTGGATCGCTGATGGAATTCACATGTTTAAAGTTGTTGGCATGTTCGCGTGCTCGTACCACTGTCAGCCAAAGAGAAGATGCTGTCTCTACTCACACCTGCATGTCTCCTTGGTTCTCTGAACATGGTGTTTGGGCAGATCTTCCTGGCAAACCTAGGTTTAATACCTAAAAACAAATTTTAATAATTATTTAAATTGAGCTTAGTAAAAGGAAGATATTTTAAAATTTATACAGACTTCAGAAATAGAAGAAAGAGACATGAAGAAACAGAGTGATAATATAAAAGGTTGATGCTGGAAAGAAGGTAAAAGCAACCCAAACTAGAGATTTCTAGGCAGTGATGTGGAATGGCACAAGGTAGGGAGGCCTTGGAAGCCCCGCCCGCAGTGGCTGTTGACAGTTCCAGGTTTAGGTGGAACCACAGGTTCGCAGGGGAGGCACGTAGCCTAGGGATCCAGTGCACGGATTTGGGCTAGAAGGAGTCCTGGGTTTGAGTCCTGGCCCTGCTTCTTGCTGTCCCAGTGACTTTGGCCAGTCACTTCCCCTCTGTCAGGCATCAGGGTGCCAGCATGAGGCTGAAAGGAGGTGCTGTACACAAGGCTCTGAGCACAGGGACCCAGCACACGGTGATGTCCAGTAATCGCAAAGTCAGATGAAAGCAGTGGGCAGAACTAGACCCCTGGGTTACTTCAATTATTGCTCTGAAAGCATGATAAAACTTACCACATAAAAAAGGTCAAGAAAAGGTTAAAGAAAGGTCAAATTCAGCCTCGTTAATCAAATCATGGTATTATGACATTTCAAATTAAAAAGCTTTGTATAACAGTGAGCTTAAATTCGGATTTGTCACCTCTGATGATCTGTCTCTGAATGTATTTCTTAGGCAGATGAGAGTGTAAACCCCGGTCTCTAGTTTGCAGATGGGTATTTATTTCGTCTCAATTACGAGTCCATTCCAGCATGCTGCTCGGTCACTGGAGGGAGCCAGAGGGACAGAGGTCACCCGGGAGGGTCTTCGGCCTGGCTGGCCGAGAGCAGAGTGACAGTGCAGGCAGGCAGGGAGGGGGCAGGGCGCTCGCCCGGCTGGGCAGTACCTCCAACCGAGCCTGGTGTTGGCCGTGGCCGCCCATGCAGGGCTCCTCCTGGTCTGTCCCTGCCGGTGCCTCTGGAGCCCAGGAAGATTAATTTCTTGCATTAAGCATGTATGTTTCTAAAGTATGTTCTCACAAACAACTACTTCTGAAAAACTACGTTGTCAGATAGTATTTAAATAATGTCAACATGAGTAATTAATATTCAATTTAAAATTTTCTTCCTTTTAATGTTTACTTTTCTATAATTAACTGAAAAACTACCACCCAACAATTTGATCTATACATCATTTCCCCTTGTCTAGTACTCGAAACCTTAGGAGAGTTTTCAAAATTCTAAATGGTCATTCAAGCCTCCGGCCTGCCCTGTGTCTCCTTTCCGTTTATCACTGTTGTTCTGTGAAGCACAGTGACAATGTCCCCTCTCTGCTCTGTGCTCCTCACAGGTGTGTAGTAATGAAGCCACCTGCATCTGTGACTTCACCTGGGCGGGGACAGACTGCAGCATCCGGGATCCAGTCAGGAACCTTCACCCCCCCAAGGACGAAGGACCCAAGGGTTTGTGTGATTTCCATGTCGATCTGTTGCGTACTGATCGTTGGCATTCTTCCAGCGGTGCCAATATAACAACTTAATAGATTTGCGAGGAGACACACAAGAATATCTCTTTTTGCCATTAAAATGTCAAATTCATGTTACTGCAGAATTAAGGATTCTAGTGTATCATATTGAAAGAAATGTTTGAATTACCCCTTAGTCTAGAATTGAGATTAGGAAGAAGTAAATATACCAATTTCCTTTCTTTCCTTTAAGCCTCATTCTTTTCCATAATTACAAATGTTAATCATTTGATGGTTTGTCCAGGCTATGCCAGTTTTCTAACAGATAAAATCTGTTTGGCTGACGTGAGACGCTGGCCATTCCTCAATGCGGGGGTCCCTCTAGAGGGAAGTTGTAATGCCCTGCTCTGAGAGAACACACTTCTGATTAGGAATTCTTCACAGAACTTTAATTCTTCAAAGAAAACATGAACGATCTGGACTTTGTTTTAATCAGCCACTGAAAGGAGAGAAATCAGAATTTTAGAGTTAGAAGGGGTCTCAGTGGCCATCGGGAACCGCCCTCCGTGTGCAGGTGAGCACGCACAGGCCCTGACGTCAGGTGACATGCTGTGGTTCCCCGGGTGACCAGGAGCCAAGGGCCCAATGCCAGACCCCTTCTCTTCCATGACATTCTGCTATAATGTAGTCCACTTCATCATGAATATTATTATTAATATTCACTTTCTGATTATTCTCCCCATTCCCAACCCCTCATATGATTTTCAAAGACCTAGAAAGGTCATCAGCTGCAGTAGGCTGATGACAGCATCTCTAGCATTGTGCCTGAGAAACCGAGAGATTCCTGGAACGAATGGTGTACCCCAGTGGCAATGTACATCAGGTTCTTCTTTGTCATGGTACTGTTAGCAGTATTTTATAAATAGCTATCATACTTTTTTCCTGCAGGTAGGAGAAATACATAGAGAAATAGGGTATTTTGATCTGCTTAGTTTGGGGAGAAACCTCATTTAAACTCTCTGAACTTCAGTATTGTCCATTTGGGAAAATATGACTTCAAAAGCATGTGAAGCTCTATAATCCTCAATTCCTGAAGGGGCTGGTTTCGAGTGGAGTGCATGTGTGATGTTCGGTAACAGTGGGTGTGTTAAACACTTTCCATGCATTTGCTTAATGGGCCTGTGGTATCACAATTCTGGACGAATCCTCATCACACCCTCACAGTCTATTTCTGTTCTTCTATTTCTGAAAAGGAACCAATTCCACTTTAAATGTAATCTTTTGTTACTTTAAAACTAGAACAAAAAATTCTTGGATCCACTTTCAGAACTTAGATTTAGAGACGATTTAGGCTCAGATGAGACAAGCAGAGGTTCATTCTTTCCAAAGTTTTTCTCCTCGCCTGGGTGTGATTCTCTTAAAGATCTACTCGCTGTTTTTCCTTAAGTGATGTTGAAGGTGCCTGAACAGGTGAGCAGAGCTAAGGTGGCGTAGACTCTGTCCAGCCCCGCTAGGTAGGGGACGGGATTGTTCACCGTTGGCTCATCTGGTCCCCGTTCTTTCCCCGACCTGTGCCTAGAAGCCTTATGAGGAGGCCTCGACATGAGGATACTACAGCTGCCTTCTGTTCTCTTTTGCTCTCTCCCCATTTAATAATATGCTATTCTACATAATCTTTTAAAGATAACCTTTTTGATCATTCAAGTAACACATGTTTATTGTAGAAAAATTTGAAAATACAGAAAAGGTTAAAAAGAAAATTAAAAATCATCCTTAATCCCACAACTCAGAGGCAATCAGTTATGAGCATTCTGGTAAATTTCTCTCTGTTTTCATTCTTAATGGAGACAATAGAGTCCTGAGAATAAAGGTTCCCATTGGTTCTAAAATGGTTAAAATCCTCGTGAATCTATTAATCCTGATTAAATTGAGAAAAGCCGTTAATTGATATAAATGGAGAGCAGTCATTATTGTAAATTATTAGATTTTCAGAAAAGTCAAGCAATTAATACAACTAAATAATAGCTCTATATTTACTTATTCCTTTTTAGTATGTATAGAAAAAGCTATTATTACACTCGTAAAATGGCAAACAACAGAAATCAATACTTTAACCCTTTGTTGTAAGTTTTATGAGTTTATTTTTGATATTCTGGTTAAAAGAAGATGATAAGAGAGAAATTGTGTACTTTACTTCTATTTTTATCCAGATAGCAAAGATTTATTGACTATCTACTATTTAAAAGACAGCACATCTTCGGCACATAGTAGACACTCCATCAATATCGCATCCCTTCCCTTCGAGTGTGTGAAGGAGATGCCGACTGTTAGTGCTGATTTCAGTTTATCAGTGTCCATTTCTCGTATTGCCTTGCTGAAGAGTTACAGATAATGGACTCAAGATAGTGAAACGATCAGTACTTTCTTGATGTAGGTTCACAGCTGTGTGAGATGCCAAGGTTTCTCTCTATAGCTGCATGCTCTATTTTCTTTCTCACGGTTGAATTGGTTTGGTTGGCAGCTGCCTTACTGAGCACAGTTTGGGCCCTCCCCAAATGCTTGCCATATATAATGCACAACACCACAGTTCTCTGGCCCATCATATCCATCGAGGAAGGTTTTCTGTATAGACACAGTGAGAAGGTAAGAAAAGATACTTAGTTTTACTTAATTTCAGTGTACTTCGTTGTTATGGAGAAAAAAATTCAAGAAGTTAAATGAAAATATGGACTTTTTTATCATGAACACAGGCATAAAAGATAAATTGTACCCAGCTGCAGCCCCTTGGATCAAGACCAAATTAGTAAAAATAAAGGCAAATTCTGTGACCCTGTTTCCACGGGATGTCAGAAATGAACTGATGTGTTTTGAGTATTTTTTAATCTTTAACTGTAAGTTCCTGGAAGAATAGAAATTCAACCTCTCCGTCTGGGTCGGGACTAAAACACCCATGAGAGTGTTGCCACTGAAGTCACTCTGCACTCACTGAAGTTGTCCCCTGTTGACTCACTATTTAAAGCATGCCAGATTATTTGCTCCAACCTCTCAAATCAAAATTCTTAAAAGAGAATAAATAGGATCTCAAAGCAAAAACCATGTGAGCGAGCATTTTTAAACAAAGATTTTCTATGACGTATTACTTCCTTCTTTCTACGTTGTCACATGCCACATGCAAAGACTCTTCTGGTCGCTATTCTTCGAACTTGTTTCCCCTGAACTCACTGAAAGAAATTATTTTGGTTTGTTCCACAAGGGTAGAATATGTTTGAACTCTGTTTAACAGACCTAGAATTCCCACCTGCTATAGCAAGAGCCATGTCAAGTACCTGTAATTTTTGTCAATTTGTACTTGGCATGGTGCTTATTATGGAATACAGTGGAACTTTTTTCACTGGATGGTTTGCATCACCCTTATAGGAGGGAAGAGAAGAAACTGGAACATCTCAAATGTTTCCCTTGGTAAGGAAGGGCAGAGACCATTCCTGGGAAGCTGTGGTCAGACTCTTTCATCAGGACATAGTCATCAAATGAGAGATAGAAAGGACAGTAATAAGCAGAAAGGGTCAGGCAATAACCAAGTACTGATGAAACTTATCAGCTGATCCATTACTTGTCAGAGGAAGTGTTATATTATTAGAACAATAATTTCTAAATCTTAATGTCTTGAGGAGTATTAGAGTTTATGTTTACCTTTGCATACATCTTTTCAATGACTTCCTTGTGAGTGCACAATTCTGTGATTTTGTAGTTCAGATGATTAGATATGAGATGCTTTGATTATCATATATATGATTACGCTTGTGTATGATTATGTGTCACTGAGGTGTTTTTCTCACTAACAATGGCCTTGTCAATAACTGAAGAACTTACCAAGTTTAAAAAATTTTTCAATCACTGTGAGTTTATTTTGTTTGAGTTCAGAAAACCTCCATTGACAGTGTAAAACTGGCTGAAATAATATTTCTATATGAAATAATTTATTTTTCATCCTTTTAGACGTTTGTCCCAATGTAACCAAAAATGAACTTAAAATTTTGTGGTTTTTTCATGGAAAAGAGTAAGGAGATCTGATTGTATGTCTAACATATTGAAATATGAAGCTAGATAAAATACTTGTTTGTAATGCCAATATTATACTCTAAAGTATAAAGAGTATATTTAGTGTTTATTTCTCATCTTAAGTTTTAGCAAAATGATAAATTCCTGCAGAAAGAACTTTGGTCCATAGGGCACAGATGGTGACTTTGCTGCCTCCTGCCTATGACGTGTGAAGTGGGACAGGCTTGTAGCTCCTTGGAATCCCATGGACGAAATAATGCACCTTTTTCTTTCAGAAGCTCTAAAAGTAAGAAAAGAAAAGGAAAAAAGCCCCACCAATATTCAAAAGCGCAATTTCAAAATGTCTGAAGCGTGCCTTCCCTGTGGAAGAATTCTACATATAAAAGAGAAATTCTTAAGAAAGGGAGAAAATTCATAGTTTGTATCTTGATATTATATACTTTTCAAAAACTCTACCTTTTAGCACATATGACCCAAGATAACAGGGACCAAGACTAAAAATAATAATATAAACCAACGAACAATGGAAATAGACAGGAAAACATATTGCCAGGCAATGAACAGTTTCCACAATCAAGTTATGATGGAAGGTAGCTGTGTCAAAGAGTTGGGCAGCAAAGTTAAGTTCCTCATATGAGGACTGTGTTATTAGCTAGAATCTTTAAGAGTTCTAGCATCAGGTTTGGTAGGATGAAAGAAAAATAAGGGATATCACCATGCACCTAGTTTCCGGGAGAGAAGAGAGCTTTTAGGAGATAACGAATCAATGAGGGAACAATTTCAATTACGCGATAACAAATTAGTACAGGAGTGAAACCAGAGCACAGGCTCCCAAAGGCCAAGGAATTCCTTCAATGAGAAGGTGAATTCTTTGTAGTTGTGAATACATCCCTGTAAAAATCACCCACCCGTGAGCCACTCCATTAATCCGTGTCGGTT